ATAATAATAATAATAATAATAATAATAATAATAATAATAATAAAATTAATAATAATAATCGTGTCCTCCCTCTCCCAAACTCTCTCTTCTACAACAGGTTGATTGATATCATTGTCCATAAAGTTAATAAAGGAACCCTGAAAAAAAAATTATTAAAAAAAGTTTGTGAATATTTTAAGTCATTGTAATTAAATTTTTTCTTTGGAGGATTAAGTTTAAACAAAAACTAAAATTACTATTGAAGAAATTCGTTTTAACTTTTTACAACTACTTTACAGCTAGGGAAGTTAAAAAAACTAGTTCAATTGTTTCGTCTCTTGAGATAAATGCGCGAATTTGTTCACGATCAAACTTCACCGATGGTTATTTTACTTAATTTTTCCAAGGAACATTAAGTAGCTTAACCTCCCGCTGTTGGTCAAAATGTGGTAAAATATTCAACTTATTAAACTGACCTTACAGGTACCTTCGACCAGTTTAGATCTGTCTGTGCACATGAAGAATTTACCCTTTAAAGAAAACAGGAGATCAATATTCGATTCAATATGTGTTTTAGCAAAAACAAATTTTACAAATATTTTTCCATTAAAGAGAGTGTTTAAAACATTTTTACCCAAATAAGTAGAAGTAAAATTATTAAACCACAATTTAATTCGGGATCAGCCTATACCCTCTTTTAAATTTAGCGAACACTCCCTTTAAGTTCCCTTAAATATTTGCTTACCTTAAACAGTTGAACTCCAATAACAGCAAACATGAAAACTAGTAGTACAGTTACAAGGCAAATATTTCCTGTAAGAAAAATTATATTGAGTTATCAATATATATATAATTATTAGATAAGAAAAACCTCTGGCCTCCAATCCCCAACAGACCTCTATAAACTGACCTCCAATACCCTACAGACCTCTACAAACTGACCTACAATCCCCTACATACCTCTATAAAATGCCCTCCAACCCCCCAACAGAACCCTATAAACTAACCTCCAATCCCTCAACAGACCTCTATAAACTAACCTCCAATCCCCTACAGACCTCTATAAATTGACCTCCAATCCCCTACAGACCTCTATAAATTGACCTCCAATTCCCTACAGACCTCTATAAACTGACCTCTAATTCCCTACAGACCTCTATAAACTGCCCTCCAATCACCTAGAGACCGATAAAACTGGCCGTCAATCCCCTAGAGACCTCTACAAACTGCCCTCCATTAAACATCTTTAAATTAATTATCCCTTTTCCTCACAACAGTAATAAAAACCTAAAAAACAAAACTTTCTTTAAAACCTGAACCCTGATCATCTCTTCATCAAAATTTCCTCTAAAGGGACTGTAATCGTAATTTAAAGTGACCTGCCATCTGTTCGTGTTCGTCTAGTACAGAGATATGTGTGCGTTGTGTCGAGTTCGTAGTGTACAAAGCGCACACTGGAATGTCCAATTGAAGACAAGCGGGGTTCGATAAGTTTACACACACATATCTCTGTACTCAACAAATTATAAATCGGGCATTGTCCTCTCTTCATGCAGGGTCACTTAAAATATTGCGTACAATCCCTTTAACTTTAATCTTCAATTAAAATTTACCTATTGTTTTTACAGCAACTATAACGCACTGAACAACATGTTTTAGTCCCTTGGCCCTATTAATGGCTCTTAGGGGCCTAAGGACTCTGAGTACACGGAGAATCTTCACAACTGATATGGCTCCGGAACTTAAAATAAATTTGATTTTTTTCTAGGTTTTTATATAGATTACACTATTAACATATATTTAGATCATTGATAGAAAAATATTTTTACTAAATAAAACTGTAATTAAAATTTTTAAAATATATTTCACAAACGAAAGGAATTGATCAGTTATCTGAACATATTGATGTTGTTTGGATTTTAAAAGAGGGCCATACATCATTGAATAAGAATGTTATTTTGGATTAGGGTTTATATCTTTAAAATAATGTTCACATTAATAAAAATCGTTCTATTTAACTTTACACATCTTTTGGTTCGTCAACAACTTAAAAAAAATACTTTGTATGAAATTCAATATATTGTGAAAAGTGCGACATCTCTGTACTTTTGTACATCTATACGAGATCAACTTTGAAAAGAACGATGTGCCTTTATTTGTTTCGATTTTGGGGTCTCTTTTTTCGCAAATTTTCTTTTAAGGTCAAAAGTTTACATAGTGTATGTAAAGTACATTCTAATTTGTTTATTTAAAACATGTTACACTATGTCAAATTGAACCCTGACAGAAGATAATCACATAAAACGACCCAAAAACAGTTCAAAATTATCATTTTTTTCTTCATTTGTTTAAGGGATAAATCAAAGATATTGCAAAGCTTAAAAAAATATCTTGTCATAATACAGTTTTGAAATTTCGGAAGTTTTATTGATAAAATAAACTCAACCTCTCATAAAGTTCGGATTTCTGAACAATTTCTTGAATTAGAATGTAAATGATTAATAATCAGAGCTGAAAACTTTAGAATGAAATATCCTTAATCCCGATTAATTAATCTGAGTATCCAATAGACACACTTTTGATTTTCTTTTTAACCCGTTCTTTCTTGGATATAGTAGAGTCCCTCCCGTTTCTGTATATAATCTTAAATAACGCGCAAAATTTTAAATTTAAAGGCTTCATGTATGCGCCTCTGATTGGTTGAATTTTATACACTTTTCAGGATACGAGTACAAGATTAGGTTAGTCTCGATATTAAGCAAAAGAGAGGATCAAGCATTAATGTCGATATCCACCATTCTAAAGTTTTAAGCTCAGTAGAAACAATATTAAATGAGAACCTAACTATACTACAAACTGTTTATAAAGAGGACCCATGCAAAACTATCAGAATTCAAACAAAGCCATTTTTTTTTATTCAAGAGGTGAACCTTTATTACCCCAGAATTTAAACACATTTTTTGTAACAATGTTTAAAAAAGAAATATTTTCTTTATCTTTCAAACAGAAATGGCCTTATTTGAACTAAAAAACTGCTAGTTAAGATAACAAATTATTCTAAACTATGTATACTACAGAGGTTGGCGTTTATATCAATTCAATGAAGACGACTTTTCTATAAAAGTTTTGATTTCTAACAAGCTTTTTTTTCAAATTACAAGTTTGCAAGTTATCAAAGAGAAGCTTCTATTTGTTTTGATGTTTGTGTGTATCCATGCGGTTTAAAAGCTTGGAAATTAAATATTGAAATCGAACGTCGTCTTCATTGTATTGAAATATACATACTTTACGACGACGACTGAAATTAAACAAGGGAAATTCAAATATATTCCAGACTGTTACTTTTATATAAAAAAATCATACTTTATTTAGAATATTTAGAATTTCGCTAGAAGTATAGGTTTACATACATATTAGAATTATAAATCTACAAAAATGTATCAAAACAGCTTCTAAAGTGATAATATTAATATGAAGTACTTTTTTTATTTAAAAATATAATTATCTATTCTACAACAAGACTGTTCACAACAATATAACACAACAACAACACAGGGCATCTTTATTTCTTTAAATCTCTCCTCCAGATAAAGGAGGTGGGGTGGGGAGGGGTTCACGGTGGAGGAATATGTAGCAAACTCAAAAGTTTAGAAAATGAAAATATTACTTAAAGGAACTGTAAGAGTAAATTCAAGTGACCCTCCATGCAAAGATGGCAATGCCCGATTTACAACGATACCCTTTAAAGATTTATCTGAGTAATTCATAAATATCCATTTTTCGTTTATTTTAACTGTTTATTTTCATATGGGGTTTATATGCCAAAAGTGACTTGCGAATTTCTTGCTTACAAAACCAATAGAGAAATTCACAGAAATAAACACTTTCGAGTCAAGAAAACGATCCATTATCTTTGTGATCAGATAATGGTTTCATGGGTAAATGTGGCATTGCCATCTTAACATGGAGAGTCACTTGAAATTATGCTTACAGTCCCTTTCAACCATTATGCATACAATCCCTTTAAACCAATATGCCTATATCTCCTTCTCTTCTTTTTCTGATGGACTTTGTAAATTGAATCTTTGAGTTTGCACTTTTTGAATCCAGATTTTATCTCCAATGTTTGAAACCTTTTCTGCAGTAGCATTTTTGTGCTTTAGAGATGAAAAATTGTATCATTTACAAGTGAAAATCTAAACCATCTTTTTTTTAAACTGGTTTGTGAAATAACATGCAGTATTGAAAATAAATACTTTGAACTGTTAGTTAGTTAGTTAGTTAGCTTAATATATTGGTTTTGATTTTTTTCAATCACTTTATACTAAATCTTAAAAGTAAGTCACAAAACTAAAAACACTGTACAACATTTTATCGCATAGAAAGTGTATGACGCTCAATGCTTAAGACAAAACTTCCATTTGACAGTTTGTTATCAATAAAAATTTTCCCGTTAGAAACTATAGTCTTCTCTGTAAAGACAAAAAATCGAAAAAAGAAAATTTTAAAAATGGAATTGTTTTTTTGCCCCAAATATTCTAATCCCTATATTTTTGCAAACGGAGGGTGTAAACCTATGATATTTCAAATTTAGATTATTTGATCTGATCAGACAGGATTAATAGCTCGAAATATATAGGGTCTGCGATAATGGATTGCAAAGATATAGGGATTAGAAAAGGAGAGTTTGTGGCCAAGACTCTATTCCTTTCAAATTTGATATGGTTTTGCCTATGGCGCTAACAGTACATACAGATATCTTCAGAAAAAAGTTACACTATGAGTTTTTATGCATACTCACTTTCTCAGAGTCTCAATTCCACTCTCTTTTAGCATGCTGAAATAGGGCTTATACTCAATATGTAAACTTTAAACCAGGACTTTTTATATATAAGGGACCCCTTGATGTTACAGGAAATAAACCGAAACAATGGCGGTCCGGAGATAAACATAGCTAATAATACATACAAATTAAACCTCTAGCAGAAGATTAGATTTGCAAGTACATACTAAAGTTCCAAACTAGATACAAGCAAAAAACTTTTCTTCTTTTATGAGTTTCATTTTAAAGGAGTTTTTCCCAAAGGCACTTTCCTAAGGGCGACTTCCCAAGTGGCAATTTCCCAATAGGTGGGGGGGGGACGCTGCGGCTAGGATATTATAAGGCCTAGCACTGTGTCTAGAACAGACTAGGGAGGCCGAGCGTTAAGGGTAGTACAGACTTAGGCAGTTGCCGTTTGGGAAATTGTTCAGTTGGGAAGTTTTGACTTAGGAAAATACCCTTGGGAAGTTGCTGCTTGAAAAATTGCACAGTTGAAAAGTATTCACTTGGGAAAATACCCTTAGGAAGTTTCCGTTTGGTAAATTTCACAGTTGGGAAGTTTTCACTTGGAAAATACCCTTGGGAAGTTGCTGCTTGGGAAGTTTTCACTTGGAAAATTCCCTGGGGAAGTTGCCATTTGTGAAAAAGCCTTTGGGCTTTAACATCATTTTAAATTCTTAAAAGAGTAAAATTAATGTATTTTAAATGAAGGTATGGTATAGGAGCCGCTAACCAAAATCATAATTGAGGGTGCACACTTGCACAATGCACACTATATATTTTATATTTCTATTGAATATTAATATATTGAATATTAAATATAGGTTTCCTATAAACGGAATTAACTTGAGTGCAAATTCATAAATTCTGATTATAACTAATACAGCGAGCTTCAAAATACTTTTTTATTATTTTTAGAGGTGGGATGCTATATGCTGTGATTCAACTCCTGAAATTTTCTAAAATTCTCCATTGAAACTCCAGACACTCAGCTGAAATCATGGCTTAATGCCAAGCGCATGTAAACGGCGGGAGTTACTATGACTGCTAATATAATTCCGTGTAACGCCGGGCACTCCCACTATTATTGTATATAAGCAACAATTATTTCCGAATTTCAATCAAATATGTTAGTATTGAAGGACTTTGGTACCTATAAGCATTATTTGGGATAAATAGGAAATATTGAGACAGGACTTTTTTATTCGTCTTATAGGGAGTGTTCGCGGAAAGTGAAAGGGTATATAGGCTTACGACAAAAATAAGCGCTTTTGATCGCTATTAATCTTACTTCTATCTGTTCGTCTATAATGAGAAAATTGTTAAAAACGACTCATGCTGAAGAACGTAGCGTCAATACAAATTCAGGAGGTTGCAACATTCAACTCGAATCGTAAGATAATCAATTTAATTCCAAACAAATAGTTCAGATATTACAAACAATAGTCATCAATTATTTTTCGACGCATTCGTATATAGTTATAATTTACTATTTTTTTTTGATTTTTTAAAAAATAATATTTCACTGGCGCTGGATTTTTGAACATTTTTTGGAAAATATGAAAATGTCGTCTTAATTATCAAAAATCCTCGAAACAAGATAAATGTTTTCAAAAGTAACTATCAGATCACAAAAAAAAAATAAAAATATGATGAAATATCAACTATATGCGAATGCGTCGAAAAATTATCGATAATTATTAGTTATATAATATCTGAATGATTTGTTTGGAATTAAATTCAATTTCTTACGGTCCGAGTTGAATGTTTCAACTTTTTGAATTTGTATGGACGCTAAGTTCTTCGGTATGAGTAGTTTTTAATAATTTTCTCCTTATAGACGCAACAGATAGAAGTAAGATAAGTAGCGATCAAAAGCGCTTATTTTTCCCCGAAAGCCTAGACCCCCCTTCATTTTTTCGCTAGCACTCCCTTTAAAAATCCTGACTTAAAGTTGTAAGGTTCTAAAACTATAGTAGTGGGTTAAATAGAGGTTAAATGTTAATTATATATCTAAAGGATAGATGTTAAGTTAAGTATTCAGTAATAACCAAAATAAATGGAATAAGGAGATGACATTATAGCAATACTGAAGTGTATTTAATGTTGTTACAAAGCAAGTATTTTTACTAGACACTTTTGAAACCACTGTATGTTTGTGAAATGTTGTGTTTACACAATACAAACTGCACAAGTGCTGTTTCTTATACTCATAGGACTTTTTAAAAGTTATAACTTAATTCTAAAAGTCGTCTTCCTATTCCAGAGATTTCTGGTTATCATGTAGTCAGATTTATTTTCAGGTTTTATTATGATCATGTTTTTTTTGGGCCATTGGTGTACCAAAAAAAAATCTTTTGAAAATAAAAATTTGTGCTAAAGTCGTAAGTTTGAAAATCCAAAATTGTGCAAAAATTGCCAAGCTATGATGTAACCTTGCACGAGATAATCAAAATTTTGATTATCTGAATAAATTAAAACATTGAAAATTGTGTCATTATTGTGTCAATTCTCCACAAGTGAATTAATATTTAAGTTAGTTGTGTAAAGGTTTTGTGTCTTTACCACAAACAATGATTTTCAAATCCCTTTATCTTTGTAACTAAATGTTGTGGACCCAAAATATTCCATATTTCAAATATCCAATTTTAAAAAAGGTCTACTCCATCAGGTGGCAAAGATATAAGGATTTGAAAATTTAAGTGTGTGGCAAAGACTTGATTCCTTTCCAAAATGTGCCAAAATAGTGTTTGAGAGTTCCCTACCTGAAAACAAAGGAAATAAGGCTGACTGCTACCACCAATAGGTCAAGAAGGTTAAACCCGTTCCTAAATTCATTCATTCATATATTCATTCAACTACAAAGCATGAAATATTACAAATAAGCAATCACAATTTACTATGCAGTTTGGACCCGCCTAACCAGGGTTGGTTGTTTTGAGTAATTGGCCCGAAGTTAATTAACGATACTGAATAATAAATTTATGTTTGGTGATGAAATTCTTCAATTAACTGAAACCCAAAAGAAAATTAACCCTTTCAAAAAATCGATATTGTGTAAATAGGATAAAAGTAGCCTAAGTAGTGTCGGATTCTGGAATCCCTTTCGGGGATTTTTATCATAATTAGCTTAACGCTATAGAAATTCGAAAGCATTAAAAATAAGTACCACGCCTAAAACCAAACAATTGTAAAACCAAAACTTTTTTCGTGGAAATTACTTTATTCAAATACAAATTATATGTTAAAAAGACAATAGCGTTAAAATAATGAAATTTCACACTAAAAAAATTTGCATTTGGGCTAAACAGGGTTTCCGAAAACTTTCATGGATTTAAAAGGTGGTGCAAACATTATCGTTAACCCCTGAACAATGCTTGATTTTGTATTTCAAGCTTGTCATACGTACCCAAAAGGCATTGAAAAATGAGAAGTATGCTAAACACGAGGATTTTAGATAATTTTGAAATCCTCCCAACAGTAGGATGTTTTATTATTTACCAATCTTCAAAAATCATATTTTTTTTCAAAAATCACCATAGGAGAATTTAAAACAATAGTATTTAAGTTTCGTGGAGACATGTGTCCTGCGACACAATGACAGTTGGTGAAAAGTTTTGAATGTCTTCTTCCATATACTGTAGAAGATATTAAAGACTTTTTGCAGTTTATTAAAAAATCTTTTACTCAATTTTATTTTACTACAGTGAAACCCTTAATAACAAATACATCGGAAGAATTTATCAAATGTCGTCTTGACAATTTTTCAATGAGTTTTATACTTATTACGTAAATTTCAGTATTTGCGAAAATAAATAAATAGCCATGAATATGCGGGAACAGTTTTAAATAGTTCCATTTAATCATTTAATTAAAAAACTAAATATCTGCAACATTCCATTTTCAGAAAGTGAAGAATACGACATTTGATGAATTCTTTCGATGTATTCATTATTAAGGGTTTCACTGTATGAAATCAATTTAACTATTATTTGGCTGCCATATAATATTTTTTTTTTCTTTTTGGTATAAAAAACTATGGAAGAAGACATTCTTAACTATTCGCCAACTGTCATGTTTGGTGGGACACCCTGTATTTAGTGAGATGTTACCTGCAGAAGCTACCCTTGTGTAACACGAACCCGTATGCAATAATCTTCAGAGTACACTCAATAGTGAAGATTGTGGTGAAAAAGTAGTCAAAATAATTCAATATCTAAAAAGAATGTACAATACCGAGGGAAACGGAAAACAGTAGACATTTTGTTGTCTAATTACTTTTTTTTTTGGCACGACGGATTGTTATTTAGCATTTTTACATTTTTAGGATAAATATATTAAAGTTTAAGATTTGGATTTAATGGAAAAGAACAAACATAATATATGATATTATGCTTTTCAGATTACCAAATAATGAGACAAAATGATGTCATAATTCTTTGTAATCATATTTAATCGAGAGTAAATTCTCCTTATACAAGTATAGGCAAGTAAAAAGATATGAAGAAAGGAACTAGAACTAAACTAAACGAAAACTATAATTTTCTAATCTTTATACCTTGGCAACCTGATGTTATATATATTTAAAAGTATGATAGATGTAAGATCAAATAGGTTCGAAATATCAATAGTTAACAATAGTCAATGCACATTGTACATACAGTAAATGTTGTACCGGCTCGGATCATGCAATTTTAAGAATTGGGTGGGGATTAGACAATCAGTTTCTTTAAAAACTTAAAATAAATGTTTGTCACCTTGTTTCGCTCTGAGTTACTGTCCAATGGATCCTCTGCTGCCAGCATAAAGCTGGAAACCATTATGCAGAGTAAGACGACATTCCCAAAATATGAGTGGTTACACAACCAGTGACAGTTCTTTCTTAACCTGAAAATATTATTTTTTCTTTATTTTTTGTTTGTTATTTTATTTACTGTACAGTGATAACCAGAAAACTCTGGAATAGGAAGACGACTTTATAGCAATAGTGTATTTGATGTTGTAACAAAGCAAACAGTTTTGCTATACACTAATTAAGTGGAATGAGTCTGCTTACACTGCACAATTGCTGTGTTCCATGCTTATTGGACTTATTGAGCCTAACAAACATTTTAGTTCCAATTCATTACTTTATCATCATCTAAATTGTTCTCGATGACTCTGTAACTATAACGTTCCTCGTTCATTCTGAGCCCTAAACTTAAGACAGAGTATCGTAATGAAACCCAGTTTTGGAAACCCGGTTTCATGACTGGGTCAGGCAGTATTGTAGATACCAATATTTTGCTAAGAAATATTACTTCATGTGGTTTCTTTACATTCTTTTTTTTATTTTCTGGTCACTTTAATTTAAATCTATGCAAATACATTGACCCCAAAAAGGAATCTCGGGAGTTTCGTTCAACGATACTATTTTAAATTTCCGGCTCTGTGTTAATGATGTATTCTTGAACACTCTGTTGTAAAATGCCGACATGGTATTCTGACCCAACCTGTAACTGCTTACCTGTTATTATGAGAGAATATAAAAAGGGAAAGCTGAGTAGGCATTGGTCTTTCCTTCCTGGGACTAGAGATATTGGTATTAATCCTCTCTTTACTGTAGGTATACTCTTGCTGATAATATTCTTCCTCACTTGGAACCTAGGTAGGTAGATAGATTTATTGGTAGGTAGGTAGGTAGGTAGGTTGATTGGTGGCAGGTAGGTAGGTAGGTAGGTAGGTAAGTAGGTAGGATAATTGGTGGCAGGTAGTTAGGTAGGTAGGTAGATAGGTAGGTAGGTAGGTAGGTAGGTAGGTTGGTTTATGGCAGGTAGGTAGGCATGTAGAGTGGTATGTCGGTTGGTAGAGAGGTAAGTAGGTGGGTAGGTAGGTAGGTAGGTAGGAAGGAAGATGGGTAGGTAGCTGAAGATATGTAGGTAGGAAGGAATGTAGGTAGGAAGGAAGGTAGGTAGGTGTAGATATGTAGGTAGGTAGGAAGATAGGCAGGTAGCTGTAGATATGTAGGTAGGTAGGTAGGTAGGTAGATAGCTGTAGATATGTAGTTAGGTAGGAAGATAGGGAGGTAGCTGTAGATTGTAGGTAGGTAGGAAGATGGGTAGGTAGCTGTAGATATGTAGGTAGGTAGGAAGTTTGGTAGGTAGATAGGTAGCAGGTAGGTATTCATGAGGAAGGATAGAAATTAATTTTTATACCTGACATAACCCAGCACTATAAGTCTCTCCTAAAAATATCTTATTTATAGAATCTTACAGTTAAGGTAACAATTGACAATTATTAAGAAAAAGGTGTTCTGTGTTGTATAATTATGTCTAGTTGGCTAGTTTCTATTTAGTTCTGGGATTTATAATTATGTCTAGATGGCTAGTTTCTATCTGGTTCTGGGTTTTATAATTATGTCAGTTGGCTAGTTTCTATCTGGTACTGGGTTTTATAATTATGTCTGGTTGGCTAGTTTCTATCTTTTTATTGTTAGCTCTTACACTGACATTAATTCTTTTCCATCTATTTCGTTCGTTTTCTAACTCAACAATCGGAATATTCGTTTTAACGTTTTTAAATCGTTCGTTTTTGTTTATTTTTCGTTCGTTTTTAAAAAACGGTAGTTTTTCATTTCTCTAAACGATCCAAGTCGTTCGTCCGTCGTTCGTTTTTTTCAAAAACGATGCCCATATCTATATTTGTCAAAATCTATAGTTTCCACTATTCTATAATTGTAACTTACCTTCTAGATTATTCTATAGTTGTAAATTACCTTCTAGATTATTCTATAATTGTAAATTACCTTCTAGATTATTCTATAATTGTAAATTACCTTCTAGATTATTCTATAGTTGCAAATTACCTTCTAGATTATTCTATAGTTGTAAATCACCTTCTAGATTATTTTATAGTTGTAAATTCCCTTCTAGATTATTCTATAGTTGTAAAATTACCTTCTAGATTATTCTATAGTTGTAAATTACCTTCTAGATTTTGATTTTCTTCAGTTTCCTCATTAGAGTTTATTTCCTTCTCCTCCTCCTTAGTAAAAAAATAAATGTTAGATGCTTTCTTAAAGGTATTTTCCCAACTGGCGACTTCCCAAGTCTGTCCTAGCAGCAGCGCTTGGCCCTAAGCATGTTACAGCCTTAGCACTCAGCCCCCTAGCCCATTCAACCCGCAGCGCTCGGTCCTGATGGTAGCCTGCGGTGCATCAGTAGGCCTAACCTAACCTTAGGAAAATTGCAAATTTGGGAGATTCCCTCTTGGGAAATTTTCACTTGGAAAGTTACCCTCGGAAAAATACCTAACACCATTTAATTTACATTGGAAACCATATATCGAGTTAAAAAAAATAAATAATTAAATTTGTTTCAACTGCTACTTAAATTTGGTCCGTAGGTTATAAAGTAAAGATAAATGTATGTAAAGTCAAATCATTGATCATTGTAAATATTTTTTTTTTAATTTGTTAAAACGAGAGTAAAAACTCCACATGTTGTAGTAAGTAAATTGAACGAAAGATTAAAATCTTATATTTCTTCATTTATTGAAGAGCTTTTGGGAATAAGAGAAATTTTATAAAATTCTATAATATGTAATTCCGGATAAGTCTGCATTTCTTATATTAGTGGGTAAAATGAAAAATAAAGAAGCTATGAGGTCACAAAGTCATGTTGCATAAATTTGACCTCTGTTTAGTTCACAGAGTTTAAAGGAATTGAGTTTCTGCCACAAACTCTGATTTTCTAATCCTTATATCTTTGTATCTTGATGTTGTAGACCTCGGATATTTTAAACTATAAATTCTAAGTTTAAAATATAAAAGGTTTACACCGTCAAGTTGCAAAGATAGGGGGATTAGAAAAATTTGAGCTTGTGGCAAAAACTCAATTCCTTTATACCTTTACATCGTTATCCTCGTCATTTTTTATCTTGGAAACATCTTCTTTTGTATCCATAGTGTGATCTACCTCCTTAGAAACAGAAACATATTAAATAATTTATAAATTGTAGCTACATTCTACTTATAGGTGTAAACTGTCCAAAAATAAAAAATGGGGGTTATATCATGGTTCAACCCTGTTTCAATGCGACATTTGTAAAAAAAATTCAATCTTTTTGATTTATTCATAAATTTATTAAATTTTTTTTTAAATCGAGATCATTTGATTCAAGTTTTTGCTACTTAACTCCTCTCCTGAACCAGAGACAGGTTAAGAAGAAAGCTCATGAAAAAGTAAATACTGATCTTATTATAATTTATTGAGCTTTCAAAACCATTGAGCTCAAAATCGTATCTGTTCCTTATTTTACTAACAAATTTTCAGATTACTTTTATTGGTATTTTGGTACAATTTTACTTATTTTTGGTTTGAGCAGAATTAGATTAGTTTCTTCAATCCTTCACCATGTGGATTGAACTACAGATAAAAAAGGGTGAAATATGTTTTGGAAACTAGAGAATTGGTTCTTTCAGTTTGATTCGAAATTCGACTAGTTCTGACAGAAATCTACCTGAGATTCGACTGGTTCTTCCAAAAACTCTACCCGAGATTCGACTGGTTTTTAGTCTAACAGATATCTACCCGAGATTCGACTGATTCTGACAGAAATCTACCTAAACTTCGACTGGTTCCTACAGAAATCTACCTTAGATTCGACTGATTCTGAAAGAAATTTACCTGGGATTTGACTGGTTCTTACAGACATCTTTCTGAGATTTGACAGGTTCCGACATAAATCTACGTGAGATTCGACTGGTTCTGACAGAAATCTACCTGAGATTCGACTGGTTCTGACAGAAATCTACCTGAGATTCGACTGGTTCTTACAGACATCTTTCTGAGATTTGACAGGTTCCGACATAAATCTACGTGAGATTCGACTGGTTCTGACAAATCTACCTGAGATTCGACTGGTTCTGACAGATTGTCGACGGCAATGGCAAGGAAAACGTTGAGGAGAATGTAGTTACCGCAGATGAATAAGATGATAAAGTAAACACTAAAGAGGTATCCGAAACTCTAAACAAAGATAAAAAGATTAAAATTGCTAAATTTTTCTGTTAATGGCTAATAAAAAAAAAACTTAATTTTCTATGAAATTTAAGGGAATATACATTGTAAAGCATTTGAAAATTGATCAAAAAAAAATAACTTAATTTAATATTTTAAGAAATTTGAAAAAAAATTGTTTAAGGTTGAAAGTCGCAAAACTAAAAACTCGAAATCTCTGTAATATGTCTCTTATTTATCGCGATTTCTTGTATACACATATCGAACAGCGAGTTACCCATCAAAGGATGAGACTACAGAGACGACTGTACGGAATTTATACTGTCTGTTTTCTTGTATTTATGATTCCCAACAGCTATAAAATTCTTTCTTTCTTTACAAAAATTATTTGACGACAACATTCAAGGTAGAAGAGTTTGTTTAAACTTGGGATCGTCATATTAGAAAAGGTTCAAGTCGTCTTTACAGTCTCATCTTTTGTGGGTATCCCCGTATACCTTTACTCCACCATAGGCCTGGATTCCATCATACATGACCACGTTCCAGTCCTCACCAGTCAATATCTGGAACATTTAGTCAAGGTCTGGAACATTTAATCAATATCTGGAACATTTGGTATATATCCAAAACATTTATTCAATATTTGGAACATTTAGTGAATTTCTGGAAATCTAGTAAAGATCGTTCCGTCGATCGAGTCATATAGTTGAAAATATAAGTAACTTTTTAACATCTGAATTTGTTTGATGTTTTAACTGAATGTTTGAAAGTTTATTATTTCCAAAAAAATTTATTTTTAATATACGATTTAAAATAAATAAATTTGCTAAATGATAATATTTTTTGGGCTTTATTTAGAATACAGAAAAGTGTAAAATAAGTTCAGCATGCAATAAACATTAATAGTTAGGATTAAACATTAAGTAAGGAAACAATTCAGTTAGAATTTTCCAAGTTTTGTCATTTGTATTATGCCTGTAGTACAACATTTGTAAATTTATCAATTACAAAAGTTACAGAACTAACGATTGTTATTCCAGTATTAAAAATATACAGTTTTGAATGATATTTCAATCATTTGATGGACTTCAAGTTTAACACTTCAAACTTGTTCGAGATACAAGACTTTTGACAACACAATCACACTTTGTAACAACCCAATATTTCAGAACATTTTGATGAAGAAAAAAAATAATTCATTTTATTATTTCATGCCAAAAAAAAGAACAAAAGGTTAAGCAATCAGTAAGTGGCGTGGCCTACAGTGATAATAGAAAACTCTGAATAAGGAAGATTAGATTCAAGTTATAACTTTAAAAGCTCCAATGAGCATGAAAAACAGCAATTGTGCAATGTAAACAGACCCATCTTATGTGTTAAATAAGTGTCTAGTAAAATTTTTAGCTTTAAGTATCAACATCAAATTATACACTTAAGTATTGTTATTATGTCGTTTTCATATACTATTGTTTTCTGGTTATCACTGTAAAAAAAAAATAATTAAAAAACATGCAAGGGTTTAAAGTAGGGTTTCAAACGCAAATAGATTTTATTTCCGCACAATATTGAGCCCATAAATTCTGCGCAATCCCGCACAATTCGCGGGTAATTCTAAGCAATTCCAATTAATTCTGAATAATTCCGCACAATTTCGCCTACGGAATTCCGAATGAAAACCCTAGTTTAAAGAGGTTAATTTATACTGAACCTATAATGTGCAGTACTACTACCAAATGATCATGCAAATAATTGTCTTATTTTCGTTATCAATTTGGCATCCAATTTGTTGTTTGTGCATGGGAGTAAATCTATCTTTCAAATCTATGATTTAAAAATAAATCCCGTGAAAAATGAGATATTACAAAAGGCATGCAGGGTTTGTTTAAATAAAACATTTTGAAGGGTCAAAATTAGGAAAAGTGAACAAAAAAGGGAGAAACGAAAAGTCTATGGTACAGGAAAAGGAATGAGGATAAAGGGAAGTAAAAACTCCACGGTCTACTCTACATTTAACAAATGAACATGAGCTGAAAGGTCAATAATTTTACTTTTTTAATTTCATTTTTTCTTCGTTTTCGGGAAAGAAATCATCGAAAAATATTGACCCATGATCAACCTAACTATGGGACATGCCCAACGTAGAGTCTACCTGGAATACCGCGTAGAAACTCTCACTGAATGAATCGAAATTTGCGCGGGGTTTCGAGTAACCATAGGTCGGGGATTTTCGCTCCTTGAATTTCCCGCCAAAAACTTGAGTTCCCAATAGAGCAAAAATGCCAAGGAAAAGGAAAAGAAGTACCAGGAGAGAAACTGGCAGGGACACAAAGTTTTAATTCAAGCACATAAATAGTTAAAGAAAAATGAGACAAGCACTGTTAGGCGTGGTCGATCTTAGACTTTTTTGAAAATCAGCTTTAAGTAAACATATTTAATAAGCGTGATATCCCAAGTTTTTTTCTTGAAAAACCTATTCAGAATTGAGTTTCGGAAACCACTTTAAAAACTATTAAAAAATTTTCAAAAATTTAAATTTAAAATTTTTTTGTCCATGTAATCATTTTTGACGTTGTTTTTTGGCCAATCGGAAAATTTTGTTTAGCTTACAAAGCTACAATTTGGCATAGTGCCTTTATGATATGTTTACTATCGACCACTGGTGGGCGGTTAGCTGGTTCCATAAAAGTCTAATCGATCCCCCCTGTAGCTGTAAGTAGGAAGTTAAATTTAAAATTGCACTCATGCTTTATAATAAAATCATTCTTATAACAAGTTTCATAAGTTCCCTTACAACGAAGCATATGGTTACTGCTTAAGGGTAAAAATATAAAACGAAAAAGGTTGATATAGTATTAATGTACAATGTTGCAATAAATCGATTAATTCACGTTTTCCATATTTTTTTAGCTTTTGGGTTTCAGTCAAAAATAATAATTAATCGATATCTTTAAAAGATACAAAGTAAAAATACTTTTTGCAAATCGAAATGAAAATGCAAAATAGTGGTCGGCGATTATATCAATACAATAAAAACAACTTTTTATTACTAATGCTTTAATCCCTAAACAATCATTTTTCAAATTACAAGTTTAGAAGTTTAACAAAGAGAAGCTGTCAATTGACAACTTCTCTTTGAAAAATCTGTTTAAGTGTTTCTGCTGTTTGAATAAAAATTTGAAAAGAAAGTCGTCTTCATTTTATTGGTATATACGACGACCTATTTCAAGATCTAAATACTATTCTTTAAAACTGTTAACGTCCCTATAGCTTCAATTGAATTTATAAGGGAGCCCAGCAGATTCTGAAGAGATCTCCAGTACCTAAGGGAACATAAACTTTGCTAAAAACAGATAAATTGTTACCTAGTTATATAGCTATATTCATAGAATTGTAACCTAGTTATATAGCTATATTCATAGAATTGTAACCTAACCAATATTAGGTATGAATGTTTTTAGGCATATATGTGGATAGGATATGAAGTACTTATTTAATATCCTTGCTAGAAGTTGATAAATTTTCTGCAAATATCTTAATTTTTTTTTTATGAATTGTTTAATAAATGTTTAAGGTCAAAGGCCCCAGCTAACTAAAAAGTATTTCAACCCGTTTTTAAGTAAAATTATCTGAGCATTTGGTTAATATATGCATGGATGACAAGTTTGTTTTGAATACTTTAGAGGATTAGGTCTGTATGTGGCAAAACTTGCAAATTCATGCAGTATAAACTTATTCAAGCTTGTAAACGGTAGTTAAAGTATAAATGTACTTTCTGCTGGAATAAATATAGAAAGGAGAATAAAAGTTAATGATGAGTCATAAAGCAAGAAAAAATCAAAATTCTGCACCTGAAACAATTTTCGTTAGTGTATTAGTATATTCTGTGCAAACCAAACCAAACCAAACCAAACCCAAAACTTGCTGAACAGCTGATCTGTTACCGCCTGTTCACATTCAGATAGTGTTAAGTTATTAAGCGGCAAGCAGCCTGACACCGCAAAGCTCGAGCATATAAAGCGATGCATGCATCGTTAACAAACGCTGGTCTAACCTGGAAGACTGTAAGGCAGGATTGATAAAACGAGTCGAAAGTGCTGCGTGACTCGTCTGGTTTAAATTTGGCGCCAAATATTTGCATGCCGAGCAGAGCAAATATAAATATAAAGAGCATTAGAAGGACAAGAAGGGCGTTTATACTCGCTATTGAATTAACCAGTGATTTCACCAGGTTACCCATTGAAGACCAATACCTAACAAACATAAATATATAAATAAGATTAAAAAATAAAATAAAGTTGTAATTTTCTAACAGGAAATGGTTTGTGACTACCACAAACAAAAGATTAAGATAATCTTAGCAAATTATAAAATGATGTAAAAATAAGTTATTAGCGCTGGGTTTAGGAAGTTAGAACACCCTTTATTAATTATGAATAAAATGCACAATTCTTTGAATAATTTAATTAAATCCTAAATTTCCTAATTACATTTGCTATACTGGGAAACAGAAATGGTACAATTTTATGACAAGAATTTTTTATTTTCTGATCTTTCAAATAAATAAAAATACAAGGATATAATTTTTGTTAAACCTATATTGCATGGATGAATTATATTTGGGATTTTGGGATTAGTTTTGGAAACAAAATACAAAAATCTGCACGTAAGGACACGTTTTATCCATTTTATAGTTAAAACTCATCAAACAATAGGGGTAAATTTATCTAAATATTTCAAACTAGACTAATGTTAGATTAAGTTGTCAAATTTAAAAATATTACCGTTTTACACCATTATAATGCAAAGATGGATTTACTCGATCAAGGTTATAATGCAAGGAAAGTTATTTCAGAGGTGTACGCACCTTTTGTACTGCAGTGCATTGTCTCTGGGCGGCAATGTAAACACAAGACGGATGTCACAGCCTGACATGCGATCCATCTTTCCCATAAAAATCAATGAAACATTCTGGTCATAGGAAACTATTATGGGAATCATTAAAATTTTCTAAATTCAATGCTTTTATCCTCAACGGATACTAAACGAACACTAATGCATCTATTCTTGTTTACAAATTCCACCTAGAGAGAACTAGTTTTAATTTGTACGCAGAATATACGCAACTGCAATTAACCTTCCTTGCATTATAATGCAAAGATGGATTAACTTACCGCGTCACTTTAAATGTACGAAGAAGCCGCACACATCGCAAAACAGAAAGACCTAAAAATAAATGTTTTATTTTTAACAAAACATAATTATCGATAACTGAATTACTAATGGAATAAACTAAAGGTAATTTAAAAAATTTAAACAGAAATAATACATTGTTTTAAACATATTCCACGGACACCCTTCCTTTCATTTTGTTTGACCAATGTTGGTACGTTTTAAGAATTACCACCCTGCCCCCCCCCCCATGGAAGATGGAGGATCCGGCGGATGGCGGGGGGTGATAAAAATTTGACATGAAAAGGAAGTTTATTTCATACTATTTACCCCAGATTTATTTCATTTCCCTAAAAATCGTTTATTGTCCACAATTCTGGGGGAATAAATGGTTTTCAAAAGAAAGGGGGGAGGGAAATGATTGTTCAGGAAAATATACAGTGATTACCAGAAAACTCTGGAATAGTAAGACGACTTTGAGAATCAAGTTTTAACTTTGAAAAGTTTAATAACCATGAAACACAGCAATTTTGCAGTGTAAACAGACTAATTTCACAAGAAAAGAAGTAATTTTATAAGTGTCTGGTAAAACTATCTGCTTTGTTTTGATATAATGTCGTCTTCCTATTCCATTGTTTTCTGGTTATCACTGTCCATCCTTAATTCCTAGTGTGCAAGGTTTACCTAATGGAGGCATAACATTCTCATTTGTAAGAATAAGTTCCACAATACTGCTGAGAACCACGAAGAAATCAAATCTGTTGAACAGCGAAACAAAATATCCCTAAAAAAAAACTTAAATAAAACTGAATCTTAAGAATTACAATTTTTTTTAACTGTCGAAAAATCTTCTAATTTCCATTGTTTATCCAAGCCCGCGATTCAAAAAATCTTCGACTCTAGTCTTAATTCCTCAGCCCCAGGCTTAAGGCTTAATCTTAGACCCAACTTATGGATCAGCTGACGACAGTTTGGGTCACGTGATCGACAGCTGTCGGCTCTTAAGTTGAACCTGAGGAGTTAGGCTCAATGAACAAATAACCGACCTTGGTTAGGTTAAGTGCAGAATAAGTCTCAATGTTTAGTCTTATTCTAATAAAACAGTATCAGTATTAAACTGGCTTTATAAACCCAAGTCTGTGGAAAATACAAAGTTCAAGTCTTAAATTATTACGAATGACCTTATAAATCTTATTTTCCTTATTTTTTAAATCGCGGGCTTATATTGTTGATTTTTAGATTTTAATTTCAGATTAAATAATTAATATGTGAATGTTTTCAAGTAATTTATTGTAAATCTTTATATGCACTTTTTTAAACTATTTATATAACACTGTTAATGTGGTTCGCAGTGTTATAAAGTTTTTGGGCAGAAATTTGCTCTTTATCGAGAAGGTTCAAACTAAAGCTCGGGACAAAATATAATCTAAAAAGGCGAGAACCTTCGAGATATAGATAAATTTTAAGTTCAAAAACTTTATACAGCATGTCGTGCCAAAATAATAGTGTTATAGGGTAATTTTCTAAAACGTTTGTATGCTTGTCTTATTTCAATGGCTATTTCTAGATCAAATAAGCTTAATGAAACAAAGCAGAAGTCAAAATATAAAGTTGATTTCAATTCTATTTTAATTTCAATTGAAAAAAAAATACTTTGGAAATATCCTAAATATTTTGGAGAAAATCTTGGAACCAATCAAAACTTTATAGCACATGTGCGTGCTATAATGTAAAGCTAATTTAACTTTATCGCACGATGATTACTTTATAGCACGTTCATAATGAAATTCACGATGAAGTGAGGAAGAATGATAGAGTACACTATAGTTTCATAAAAATCTTTATATTCTGAAAAATATTTTCAAGTTTATATTTTCAAGTGCATCTGGCATTGAATTTCTTTTCAGTGAGAGGAGTTCTCTAAGATAAATTATATTTATTTTCCAACCAGTTGTGGGTGGTAGACTGGTTCCCAGGCTAACAAAAATATTCATTTCTTTAGTTTAACAAAATCATATTTTGTACAATGTACATTAACAGCTTTAAATTCCACTGTGGACTTTGGTCGATTAAAATAATCTGTAGCAATTACTGACGATTTAATTTAACACTTTTGACTGTATTTTGACTGTATTTTGACTGTATTTTGGCTGTATTTTGCCCCTTTTCTCATTATCTAATTCCCAAAATAAAACCATTCTCAAAATATAAAAAATTGCCCTAACCCATGATAGTTACGGCTAGTACAGGGTGTCACACGAAATATGAAAGTTGAATGTTTTGAATGGCATCTTCCATTAGATATTACATATTAAAGACTTGTTGCAATTTATTTCGTGAACAAAATCTTTTACTGCAATATTTTTTACTTTGAAATCAAATTTACTTTTATTACATTTAAAAATATTCACCAAATGTCATGTTTCGTGAGACAACCTGTAAAACTAACCTACATACTACAGAGTACATGGTATGACTAACATTTCAATATGATTGATAATATATGTTTATACTTCTGCTATGAAAAATGTTCAGCTATATTTTGCATTGATACATAATAATAAAATCGTAAACATTTCAGAAACCTATTTATCCCTGAACGGAAGATTAATTACCACTATCTAGTGTATAAACACTAACTATGTGAACCTTGAAAAAACTAATATAATAAATGCAACCCCCTCAAGTTATGTAATTAAAGCATACTCGCAAAACCTAACCTGGAAATTAAATATAGATTTATATGCATGACCTAATAGGCTTTAAGCAACCACTACCTTTCATTCAGGGGTGTATTCAGGGGGGTTTCGGAGGCTCAGTCCCCCCCCCCTCCCTCCTGGATCAGTGAATTCTATGGTTTTCAGGGGGGTTTTTAGCCCCAAAGGGTGCTGAGCCCCCTTGAAAGAAAATAAATGAAGCCCTTGGGGTAAATTTCATTTGTTTTGAATAAATTTATCTGCTATTTTGTGCAGTGTATATATCAAGGGTAGGTGTAATGTTTCAATTATATTTATAGATTTGTATCAAGTAACATTTTTCCTTGTAATTCTACACCCTTCGTCTGGAGGTATGATTACATGATGATTGGAATTATTCTATAAGACATTTTTTCTTTACAGTAAGATGTAATCGCATGGGGACATTAGTTCCAAAACTAACACTTGGCCCATTTCTAACACTGAGTGTTAGAAATGGGAACAATTTGAAAGACTGGGGTTTTAGGATCCCAGCCCATATTAAGAGTAAAAGTCGATTGCAAAATCTATAACCAACATTTTATTAAGCATCACAAGGACGACAATTCCGATTTTTAAACTATTAAATAAAAATTATAAAAGGAGTTCCTTTTATATTAAACCCCTTGACCGTTTTCAAGACAATGTCATGATTTCCATTTTCGAACATATCCTGAATTTGAATCATTGTCGCGTTTTCGAGACAAACCCCAATTTCTTATTTTGAGAATAAACCACAAAACTCATTTTTATAACTTAAAAGATAAATCACAGAAAGTAAAAATTATCTTATGAAGCCAAAATTAACTGCTGAATTATATTTAGAATCTAAGCTTTCACATTTTATTTGCTAAATAAGAGAATGAAGTAGATTCAGTTTCCTGCGTTTAAGAAAATCAATTTCCAGCATTTCTAGTTATAATCTACCTTGTAAGAATAAATAATAGTTATATTTTGATTTCTCAGTGACGTGATGTTTTTTTAATTACAAAAGAACAATATGTTTATATTTATTTTCTATTTTGTTTATATAATACCTTATCAAAAAATCTTATTTTGAGACGTAAGTGCGTAAATACTTGATCATTGACATTGATATGAATTCGAGCAACTGTCTCAAACCCAGGAAATGTTTCAAAAACGTGACATGAGCTGAAATGCGGCAATTGTTTCAAAATAGGGATATGTAGGAAAATGAAAACAAGAATCATCAAAAACTAATTTTCATACCTTATTATCAGTTTAAAGTTGACATTTCTTGTTTCTATAAATAGTTTTAGCTATTTACAATAAATGTATGGTGTAGTTTTGTTTAACTCGGCTTGGATTTAAAGAGATATACGCTTGAAAAAGATAACTTTACAGATTTGGTCCATCTCAGTGTTAGAAATGGGCCAAGTGTTAGTTTTGGAACTTATTTCCCCTGAAATGTGCCGGGTGTATTTCCAGATTACCTGGAATCCAAGAGCGTACATCTTAAGAAGCATCTCTAGCGTGAACAGGATTACAAAGAACAGGTTTGTCATTTCCTAAAACAAGCAAAATTAATTGAAATATTTGGCGAAGAATTTTTTATTAAAATTGTAAATATGTTTAGATTTTGATATGTATCTTAAATCTTTGTATCCAATAAACCTCAAAACTATTAATCCAATCGAGTCCCAATTTTTTGCGGTGTCTCATATGCCCGCTAAAGGAATGTTTTTAGCAAGCCAAAATAAAAGAAAAAGAAAATTTTTTAGGAATCCTTAAAAATCCGCAAAAGTTTTTGTTACAAAACACAAAAATGGCTGCATGAAAACATCTAAAAGCGAATACTGTTCTGGAGAAAAAGTACAAAATGGCGTTAAATCTAGTAAAATATATCAAATATATATTTAAATCTAGTAAAATTTATAAACAACTTTAATAAATTGTTGACAATAAGTAAAAGCACAGTATATTATTATACGAGTCTACATCAATGTATATTCTCTGTTTGTTTGTTCGTTCGATCATAACTCACGAAACCCTCGACCGATTTGCCTCAAATTTTGATTTGGTGAACTCGGGAACACCACGGAAATGTTCTTAGCTCTTTAGATTCTAAGTTGAGTGGGTCCACTTTTCCAGGAAAAGATAGGTAAAATCGTAATTTACGACGAAAGCGCGGGTAAACGGCGGTGACGGAAGAGTAAATATTTTGTGTAATGTATCTACCTGAAAATGATCCAACCACTCTGGTTGTCTGTAGTGCTCCGTGGCTAGAACACAAGTGTTTAAGAAAACAAGAATGATGATAAACCAGAACATAGCCTGAAATATTAATAAATAAATATTTAGTATTCCTGTCTTATTGATAGATAATGTTGAAGCATTAAAGGGATTGTAAGCGCAATTTCAAGTGACCATGGCAAAGAGGTCAATGCCTGATTTACAAAGGTACCCTTGAAACCTTAATTTGATTAAAAATGTGAAAAATACCGTTGTTTTTCTAACTAGAAAAGTTTTTATTCTGTGAGTTTCTCTTTTGCTTATATATTATATATGGATATATAATTCATACTTGATCAGACAAACTTTTACGATGCAAAAAATTATTCATTACAAGTTAAAATAATTTAACTAAATTAAAATGGTCACCTGAGATTTAACTGCTCTTCTGCAGTTCCTTCGAAACTTTCTGTTCCACCTAGTAGATACCAGTTTTCATAAAAATTATTATAATAAATAATAATTATAATAATGACAACAATAGTGTTTCTATTCTGTAATCATAATAATCATCAACAAATTAAAAATAAAGAAACCAAAGAAATCTAAATTTTGAAATTTAACATCGAGAAAATCCAGATTTTATAATAATAAGGCTTGCATAAATCTGACAAACCCACATGATTGAAAAAATTCTGAATGAGAGAAAAGATTAAGATATGTTGGAAATTTGCTGAGTTTTCGAAATATATAATACAGAAAATTTAAATATTTGAACCCAGCAGCAAAGATAGATAGCATCGAGTTATACATAGGTTTTGTAAAAAAAAGATTAATACAAATGGCATTTGTATGGTGCTATAATAGCTATTAACTAATCAGTGTCCGAATTTAATTAATGTAAACCTAGTCTCAAATCACCCCAAAACCGGTTTCAATTAAGCGTCAGCTTAAATCTTGAAAAACTTAATACAATTTTAAGTGGAGCCAACCATATTTGAGCCGCGGTTAAAATTTAAGCCGCCGCTCAAATTCTTTGAATTCGGCCTCTGAATTATGTGTTTAATTCAACAAATATTTTTTTATGAACTGCTTCAATGTAGACACAACACATTTATAAACATTTGTAAAATTTCTCAAATATTAGACATTTACTCTACTACAGTGATAACCAGAAATCAATAGAATGGGAAGACGAAATGATAGAAACACAAGAGTATTTGATGTATTAAAAACCAAATATTTTTGTTGTAAATTATTAATTCATTCAGAGAGTTTTCTGGTTATTTCTGTATGAAAAATTAGACTTTTCAGACAAACAAAAAATATTAGACAAAATCATAAACACTCATGGTTTATTTGTTTTTGTTTTCTAATAATTTTTTTTATCTGAAAGAAACAATTATCTTTTAAATTGAAGAGGAATCACTGAGCCATAAAATTATTCCATCAATTCATGGATTTTCAAGTGGAAAATTTTGACCGATAAAATCATTTATTTTCTGTTGAAAACATCTCAGAGTTTGAAAGACCTTCTGAATCCTCTTAAATAGAAAATAAATCAAGAACTGTATTCAAGGTTCTGGAAAGCATCAAAAACCAGGGAATATGAATATGAATAAGATACTTTTTCCATTTTCATTTATTACATTTATTACTACACTCTTTAGATAATGTTACACAGTATAAGCATGCTGTGCAACATGTATCAGTTTAATGGATCTAAACTTGTTTATTCGGTAAACACTCTTTAGATAATGTTACACAGTATAAGCATGCTGTGCAACATGTATCAGTTAAATGGATCTAAACTTGTTTATTCGGTAAACACTCTTTAGATAATGTTACACAGTATAAGCATGCTGTTCAATTAATGCATCAGTTTAATGGATCTAAAATTGTTTAAAGACGTAGATTTTGTTTTGACTTGTATGTATTGACCCAAAAAATTAAGATTTTAGAATTTACATTTTCAAAAACATTGCTCTACATTAGATGAACAACGCCACTTTCAAAAATAGGAAAAATTTGAATCTTGCCCAAAACTGACTTCAGCAGTGATGTTCAGATACAATTTCTTTCTGACGTTTTTTCTTACTAACGCCACGTCTGAAGGCCTTTTTTCTTTAAATGTTGCATTAATTTTTAAAGGTGATCAGTCTCACAAGGTCAATTTTAAATTAATGAGCTAATTAATTTGTTTGCGATCTTATAATGAACTAATTCAATTCTTTGCGATCTTATAATGAGCTAATTTATTTGTTTGCGAGCTTGTAATGAGCTAATTCATTTGTTTGCGATCTTATCATGAGCTAATTCATTTCTTTGCGATCTTATAATGAGCTAATTTATTTGTTTGCGATCTTGTAATGAGCTAATTCATTTGTTTGCGATCTTATCATGAGCTAATTCATTTCTTTGCGATCTTATAATGAGCTAATTTATTTGTTTGCGAGCTTGTAATGAGCTAATTCATTTATTTGCGATCTTATCATGAGCTAATTCATTTGTTTGCGATCTATAATGAGCTAATTCATTTCTTTTCGGATTTTATGCCGTTACATTGTTACATTTTCTCTTGTTCACTGCAGGATGGAAAGCAGAATTTGTAGTCTTAACTCTAACGTTAACAGTTAGACCTGTCTTGGTGAGTTTTGTCAAATAGAATGTTTTGTTTTTAAACTTAGACTTAATTCTAGGAATTAAATTACCAACATATCTTAAAAACCGAGCCTTTTTTAGCCTCAATAGCCTTAAAACTAATTTACCCAAAAAATATTCTAAATGGACACAAAGTCGAATTTTCTAATCCCTATCTCTGCAACGTTAGATTATTTCATCTAACATAATATTAATATCTGAGGTCTACGACATTGGGTTGCAAAGATAGAGGGATAAAAAATAAGAGATTTTTCTAAAAACTTGGTCCCTTTTAATAAAAAATATGTAAAAAGTGAATTTACCTGTCTGCCGCCTTGATAAATATTCTAATTGAGGATTGTGGTATCTCTGTCTCTGGTTCTCTTTTCTTCACCTCACGGTTCTCACTCACTTTCGCTAGAACACAAAACCATCAGCTGAAGGGGCTGATTCTCCATACAAGATGACAATGCCCGATTCACAACGGAACCCTTAAGCTTTGTCTGATTAAGTATGAATTATGTAGCAATCTTTATAATAAAAAAAAGATTATTTATAATTGTGGTTTCTCTAAAAAGGTGACTTGCGAATTTGTACTGCACGAAAAATATAATAATTATCAGAATTAAAAAACGACCATATCACACGAATTATTAATCAGATAAATGTTTCAAGGGTACCGTTGTGAATCGGGCATTGACATCTTTGCATGGAAAGTTATTTGAAATTGCATACACTCCCTTTAACTGAATGTTAAAGTAATCAATAAGAATTTAAGAAAAAAAAGTTTCTTTTAAGGTTGCAATAGTTAGATAAATAAATCAATATTTGGTAAGTTTCTAAATATTTTTTTAGAAAATTATAAAGGTTCAAAGTGTATTCTTAAATAACACAGAGTTGCATCGAACCCTTTTCTCAGAAATAAAAAAATTGGGGTTTTCTTTATTTTCCGTTGACACTTGTTTTTTTTCTAAAAGAGTTTTTAACAAACTAGTAATATCACAATTTAAAAAAGGGTTCAAAGGGTTAAAAGGGTAATTTTTGTATTAAAAGGGGTGGGGTAACTTTTGTATTAATTTTTTTTGTAACATAAAAATCTTTTCAATTGCATTAACGCTGAAAATACAATTAAACTAATAACAAAAGCTAATAACTATAGCTTAGAGTAATAATTAATGAAATTAGGTTTTAGGTACTTTCCCAAGGTGCAACTTCCCACACACGCACCTCTGCCCCTTTAGTAAAAGTAAATTGAACCTATATGAAGCATAAAGTCTGACCGCGTCAACCTTGTTGCACCAGCAAGTCCTGTCCATAGAGCTAGGTACAGTACCAAACTGGGACTGGAAAGGTTGACCCGGCACGGAAATTCAAATGTACTACGGCTGCCCGTGCACAGGTTAGGCTAGGTCTTCCTAGGCACTGTAGTCTGCAATGGGGCCACGTATTGTTACTAGGATGGTCTAAGGGGCCGAGCGCAGTGGCTAAGACAGACTTGGAATATTGCCGCTTGGGAAATTGCGCATTTGGGAAGTCGCCACTTAGGAAAATACCCTTGGGAATTTGCCACTTGGGAAATTACATTTATGAAAATAATTGCAGAAACTGTATTTATGCTTATACATGAGAGTTTTAACCTATACATCCATTTCTTCCTTTTATTATCATAATTGTTATTATAATATTTAGTTTAAAATTGTGCATGTTTATAAGTTTTGGTATTTTCTTTTTTTTTCTGAACATTTCGATATTGGTTATAAGTAAAAGCCGCAATTGTAATTGTAAAATAAAATATTTGGCTGACAAGAATCTGACGAATGCACATAGAAAAATGTTTAAATCTTAACGTTATTATGGTGAACCCGGGGAGCTCTTGTGTAAACAGCCTAAGCTATCTTGTAGCTCCCCGGCCACAATGTATTTATAATTGGTTTGCTATTTTCAATTAGCTTTTGTATGTATGTACATTGTAAAATTTGTGGCCTAAAAAATTATTTGATTTGAATTATGAAAATTACACTATACTGATAATTTATATAAGAAATTACACTTATTGATTATCTAAAAACATATTTGGCGTGCTATACGAGTATTTAGATTTAAAAAGTATTGACCAGTTTGTTTAGAAAGAGGTATCTTTTAGCGTGGATAAATTGGATGAGTTAGGATCCTAATTCTAAAATTTTATTATATATTCACGAAGAGATGAAGAATACTATGAATAAAGTTACAAACAAAGGAATTAACTTTTTGCCACAGTCTCTGATTTTCTTATTCTTATATCTTTGTAATCCAATGTCATAGATCTTAGATATTTTATACAATGAATTCTGACAGTACAAATAATTCAGGTTTGAAATATCAAAAATTTATACCATACCACATACCACATATCTAAAAACTATATTTTTGTTAAGAAAATTGGATATAGAAACATGTGTCACACTTTGATATTTGTTTTAAAAAAAACAAATATTTTTTTTCATTTTTATGACCCTTTTTTGGCGTTTTTTTCAACCCTCCTTAGCACCCAAACTATTAAAGTTATCGGTCTAATATTTTCAATGAGCTGACATTGGCACATTGGGCTATGCACATGCATTTCATACTTATACCTATTCTCTATGGCCTATTTCCCAAGCTATACATAGATTCAGACCCCCAGCCTTTATAAGGTTAGATATTTCAAAATTATGTTTGATCAAATAATCTAAGTTTAAAATTTTAAAAGTTTGAATCATTAGGTTGCAAAAATATAGGGATTAGAAAATCAGCTGTTGTGGCAAATACTCAATTCCTTTAATATATAACTGTGTTACTTCTAGCTAAACTACAGCATGCATGATTGTTTACAAATAAAGAGAAAGACATGCAACTAGGTTAAATTAAGGGACTGTTAGCGTTATTTAAAATGACTTTGTTTGTAAAGATGACAATATTCGAATTACAACGGAGCCCTTAAAAGATTTGTCTGATCAAGTATGAATCAGATGTGCAGGAAAACCTTCATAAATTATCATCAAAAATCTTTAAAAAAACGACATTATCTTTTTCAAACTTTTGATCACATAAAGGTTTCAAGGGTATCGTTGTGAATCGGGCATTGCCATCTTTGCATGGAGGGTCATCTGAAATTACGCTTACAGTCCCTTTTAGGGTACAAGTATAGAGCATTACATTGTATTTGAAACGGGAAATGAATAAGATGAATATTTAAAATAATGCGCCGTATGGTGTGCAAATTTTAGATTTTAATGGGAAATGTTGAGGAAAGAAAAAAAATCTTGGAAAAATTTATTTGGAAAAATTTTTTTAGTCTGCATATTTAAGCCTATAGATAGAAAAAAACAGGAAAATAAGTAGCAAGGTTAAAAATGAAATGTTTATTAAGGGTTTCAAACCTTGCATAATGTGCTGAATGGGAATTATAGAAGACTGGACTAGAGAGAGGACAATGGGACTAGGACAGGTCCCATCCTGAGGACGGACTGCAATGGTCCGAACTCCATCAGAGCTCTGAGAGGGACTTCGTCCTGCCGGGTGAGAATATTAGTTTAAAAACTACCAGTATATCATGGAAAAAATATCAGTTAGTCAGGTTAGTGAAAATATTAGCATTCAACATTCAAAGTTGATTACAAGATTTCGTATATTTGAAAGTGTTAGAAAACTAGTTATAATAATTATTTACATTTACTTTACAGGGAAGTTAAGAAAATTTTACTTTACGTAAGACCAAAATTGGTCAAGGGAACCGGTGGTTAAGTAAAAATTGTAATTCCCGCAATAAGTAACTTACACAATTTTATCGCCTTTTGAGATAAAAATGCGCGAATTTTTTCACGAAATATTTGTATGGCGGGTGGTTAATCTACTTAATTGTCCCAAGAGACGTAAAGTTTTATAACGTCCCTCTGTTGCATGGTGGAATAGTAGGTCGGTAATGTTGGTGAAAATGCAGTAAAGACTCACCATTATCACTTGTTCTCTCATCCTCTGGGTCTAAATCTTCAGCATGAGTTATCCACTCCAGGTATCCTCGAAGGTCGTCGTCTATTTGCTGCTTCTCACGTTGCTTCTGAAAATCTCCGCGGCTTTTTGCTTTCTCTCTCTCTTTTGAGAACTCTCTAAACAGTTGAGTATTAGGGTATTTAATTTAAAAGTTCAAAAGAATAATTAAAGTCACTCTGAATTAAAGATTTTATGTTATAAACACCAAGCAAAAAATGTATAAACAGAAATGAGTTTTTATATCAAAAAGAAGACAAGTTATTTGAAAAAATATTTGTTTATGAACTTCATTGACAAAAAAAATTTCAAAATTTTTAGGGCACTCTCATTTCTGTTGCTAAATAATTCAAACTTTTCATGATTAAACTACATTATTTTCACTATATTTCTAGATACATTATTTGAAGTGCATTACATAATTAATGGGGTCATATTGACGTAATTCCATCGATAAAAGGTTGGGATTGGGAATTTCATGCATACACTTCCATCAATAAAAGGTTGGGATTGGGAATTTCATGCATACACTTCCACAATAAAAGGTTGGGATTTGAAATTTCATGCATACACTTCCACAATAAAAGGCTGGGATTGGGAATTTCATGCATACACTTCCACAATAAAAGGTTGGGATTTGAAATTTCATGCATACACTTCTACAATAAAAGGTTGGGATTGGGAATTTCATGCATACACTTTCATCAATAAAAGTTCGGGATTTGGAATGCTTGGGACTGGATTTATAACTATTTGTAGACTGGAACGTCCGATGCACGACAATATCATTTAAACTATTTGATGATGAAGGATGCCGGAGTTGTTTTCATTTGCAAAAACATTTGCAATTGTTAATATCTTTAGCGCATGATAAATATTGAAAAAAATTATTATTTGAAACCCGGGAATCACAAAAAAAATCTGAAGACTTTCAATGCATTAACACGATTTTTATTATAACAAAAAGTTTACTGAGTACCGTCAAGAATCGAACATGCCACTCTATAAATGGAGTCTAGAAATTAAGTCTGCAGCCCCTTTGAGCATAGTTCTAATTAGGATAATTCAGCACGACATGCATTTAAATAAATACCAAGCACATGCACTTAAACTTAATGAAATAATAACAAACCAAGCTTAAACTAGTTCAGAAAACCCGGTCTCAATTTGTTAAAACTTAAATTTACAATCACCTACTTTTTATCCAAATATAAACATAACAAGTGATATAATTATTATGAACAGTTTACACAAAAATTTTTTTATATTTAGAAATAGATAATTTTAAAATTTTAATCAGTATTCAATTTGTTATGAAACATTTAGTGCTTTATGATATGTTATCTACATTTAAAGACGTTTAAAAACATTTTAACCCAAGATTAAATTTTATTGTTAAGTTTTATTGAGTTTCGGCTTGTTTTAGTTTTTCAGTATTAAAAAAATGCCGTTTCTGAAACACGTATCCCACTTGATAGTTATAAGTTGTTTAGAAATTCTTTCATAGTCAAATAAAATTAAAATTTGAAAGAAAAAAAGCTCCATGACTTTAAATCTTTTCTAATCTATCTTATGCAATAATTTAAAATCTTACCATAAGCTGGTCGTATAGTTGTCATAAGTCAACTGTCGACTAAGGATGGATGCAGGGAAAAAACATATAAATTAGTTGGTTCTGTCATGCAAAATAAAAATAATACAAGACTTAAACTATGGTTTCCAATCGGAATTTCGTTACGTGAAATTGCACGCAATTGTTTTCATATTGCGAGGAATTGCGCGGAATCGCGCAGCAATTTCAGGGCTTGCGTTGGAAACCTTAACTTAAAGTTTTGCAGGGAAAGTGAACAGCTCAGTTAAGCGTGAAATAATTAAAATAAACACTTAAAAAAAAAACCATGTTTCCTTGGAGTAGCTTTGTGACTGTCAGATTTCTCATGTCAGACTTAGTAACGCTTTATTCCCTGATAGTCACTGAGAATGTTATGATCACCATATGATTTAGGAAGGCTAAGAAAAATGAACCAAAAAATTTTAAGCAAAACTAGACAGGGTTACGAAGTGTGAAATTTAAAAAATCTTAGATATGAAAAATGAAAAAAAAAATACAGAGAACACCAAATTTTAGGAGTGGAAAATTTCTGCTCTGTTAAAAATGGAGCTAATGACGTCACACGTTTAACATGTTTTATCGTAGCATGCAAACACAGGAACAAATTGTGTTCAAAAATTTCAGATATCTATAGCTGGCAGAATTCATTTTTGGAGACATAGATTAACTCACCCACTTAACACACCAAGAATTAGATTCATGACAAAAAATGCGCCAAGTACAACCATAGAGACGAAGTACACAAACTGCCATGTGTTTCCCATTGCATCATGTACCTAGGAACATAAAGCCTTGATGCTTGCTAGAATTATCTTATTCCTGAGCCCGTGATTTAAAAGCTTTGACTCGAGTCTTTATTCATTAGACCCGGGTGTAATGCTCAATCTTAGACCCAAGTTATGAATCAGCTGACGACAGCTGTCAGCTCTTAGGCGCGCGGGGTCTGTCCAGAATTTGATACGTTTCAAACTGTTGATTTGGTATTTACAGAAGTTGTTACTTTTTTGTTTCTCATCTCAGTAACGCTTTTTCATCCATAAACCATAATTTCTATAGGAATTGATTATTTTTTACAAAAGTGACTTGCGCAGGAAAACATAACAGAACTATCCGAAATCAACATTTTATAACCTAGAAAAACGACTATATCTTCCACATTCTTTATCAGATGAATATTTCAAGGGTACTGTTTTAAATCAGCTAATGCCCACTTTGAATAAAGGGTCACATGAAATCAGGCGTGCAACCCCTTTACCGGCCTTGTGGTCAGTAATTTGTATAAAACAAACTGGGAATATTATTCAGCGGGAGAGCACTGTACAAAATACGACCGCAACTAGACATGTTGGATTTGTTCCGCGGAGCAAACAATTTGTTTTAACAACAAAGTTTATCCTGTGTTTGCAACAATATATAATTTAAAAGGAAAAGTCTACTGGTCACTATCAATGTTAAAAAAAAAAAATTTTCTAATCAAAGAAAAACAATGAGTTGTATATTACTTAAACGAAGTCTCATCTATTTGTTATTAAATAGGAGTTTAGAATATAATGTAGTAGAAATTAACTGAACACTTGTCACAAACTCTAATTTTATATATCTTATATGTGCAATATATGATATTTAACTTTGATATTTTAAACTATGAATTTTGCAACTTTTGAGATATTATTGGTTTACAGCTGTCTAGTTCCTTTGTGTACTGGCACTAAAATCCTAAATATTTTTTTAAAGATATAATTAACGATATATATTCTGTAAAACGCATGCATTTATAATGATATCCATGACCACCTAAGGGATGAAAGTTAGGTAAGATAGACGTAAGGTTAATTTTAACTCTAAAATTTCAGACACAGAATACTGCAGCTGACTTCCTTGCTGAAAGGGACTGTAAGCAAAATTTCAAGTGACTCTCTATGTAAAGAGGGCAATGCCCGATTCACAGCGATACCCTTAAAATATTTATGTATTCGTTGAGTATAGAGATATGTGTGTTTAAACTTATCAAAACCCGTTCAGCTGTAATTTCAAGTGTACGATGTGTTGAGTTAAGATTGTACGTTTAAACACACATATCTTTACAACAGACAAACACACAAATGTTTAAGAGTACCGTTGTAAATCGGGCATTGTCCTCTTTTATTTGCAAAGTCCCCCGAAATTACGCTTACAGTCCCTTTAATACAAGCTTCCTAAAGATTCGTGCAAGTAGGAATGATGGTTAAAACCAGCTCTGTGTCCTAGTTATAAATATGTAAACCTCCACCACGAAGACACCTTCACCCTGTAGTTTATGTCCACCAACAACTTACCCGCACAGGGTGCCCAGAATAAGGTTCATTATAAAAAATGCCCCGATTAGGATTAAAGTAACAAAATATATCCATGGCCAGGATGGACTTGTGCTATCATTCACCTAATGGAAAAATGGAAAATTAAATAAAAATCATCTTTTGTTTTTACTTAATGTGTTTACCATAGTTTGATAATAATACAGATATAACACTACATGTCGTCTTTTCGGGATTCAGGAGTTTTTCGTTCACTGTAACCTGAGGCACAAGCCCAAAGGAGTTACGCGCAAATTCTTTCTCTGTCTTTTAACGCCTCATGCGTGTAACTCCTTTGGGGCTCTGTCTCAGGGTTATTTTAACGAAAACCGCCTAAATCTTGAAATGACAACATCTAGTGTTCTATCTGTATTGTTATTAATCTATGGTTTTCTCGTAAAAGGTATAGATAAATAATAAAGTTTAGGATTGACATGAGTATGAGAAGGAACCATTAGGAATGATATATCTGCCGATATTATTCTCCATTAGATGTCTACAGCTAGTACACGATATTCTACATTTCTACAGTCTACATTTTATCTACAGCTAGTACACGATATTCTACACGTCTACAGTCTACATTTTATATACACTACACTAAATTCTACACTCTACACCTCTGCAGTCTACATTTTATATACACTACACTAAATTCTACACTCTATTCCTCTGCAATCTACATTTTATATACACTACACTAAATTCTACACTCTACACCTCTGCAATCTACATTTTCTGTACATTACAATACACTATACACTTTACAGTAATGTTTTCACTCTATAGTACTGCTGACACTCTTCACTAAGTACTCTACAGTACTGTTTAAACTCTTCACTAAGTACTCTACAGTACTGTCTACACTCTTCACTAAGTACTCTACAGTACTGTCTACACTCTTCACTAAGTACTCTACAGTACTGTCTAATCTCTACAGTACTGTATACACTCTACAGTCTGTCTAATCTCTACAGTACTGTATACACTCTACAGTACTGTCTACACTCTATAGTACTGTCTACACTCTACAGTACTGTCTAGACTCTACAGTACTGTCTACACTCTACAGTACAGTCTACACTCTACAGTACTGTCTACACTCTACAGTACTGTCTACACTCTACAGTACTGTCTACACTCTACAGTACTGTCTACACTCTAAACTTTACTCTGCAATCTACAGTACTGTCTACACTCTAAAATTTACTCTACAATCTACAGTACTGTCTACACTCTAAACTTTACACTACAATCTACAGTACTGTCTACACTCTAAACTTTACTCTACAATCTACAGTAATTTGTAATAATAAACATAGCTGATTCCCGCTACAGATTCTTATAATTGTGCTTTATTTTCAAAGCTTTGCGCCTTTCCTTTTCTTCCCTTGTTTCCTACCACAGAAGGTTGAAAATACCTCAGTTTTATCTCAAAGATTAATAACAATACAGACAAAAAACCTAAAGTCGTCTTGTCAAGATTTATTGCTTTTGTTAACAATAACCTTGAGGCAAAAGCCCAAAGGAGTTACGTGCATGCCGCGCTGAATGACAAGACAGTGAGGGAGCATGCGCGTAACTCCTATACGGGCTTCTGCCTCAGGATTTTTGTGAACGAAAATCCCCGAAATCTTGATAAGATTCTATCTGTATTGTTATTATTCTATGAAATATCTCCTCTTGCTCTCTATACTAACTAATTAGGATTAAATCTGAACCACTTCAATTAACAAAGTACACCACTAGTTGATTACTGTATAGCAGCAGCCCCCTCTATTTATTTAATTATGAACTATAATGCAGTGTACAATGTGGCCTGGATAATATAAATTAGAGCACAAATACTAAATATCCTTTGGTCAATCTAAATTATGTAAATCTTCTCAGTTTTCAATAAATATGATTTGATCATGAACTAAGAGTGTTAAAACATCAATCATCATAAGCTAACAAAAGCTAAGGTTAGATTAATAACTTTAAAATATTCAGTCACTGTCGTATATATCAATAAAATAAAGACGACTTTCGACTTCATTTTTTTATTTGACCAGCATGTTGATACACAAAAATATTAAAAAAGAAAAAGATTTTTGAATTAACAGCTTACACTTATAAACTTGTAAACGTATCATATTCCTAAAAGAATTGAGCCTTTTCGAAAACTTAAGTTTTTTAAACCTGATATATCTTGGGAACCTGATAATGTAGACCTTAGATATTTTAAACATAGACTATTCGATCTAACATCATTCATAGTTTGAAATAGCTTAATATCATTGAGTTGCAAAGATAAAGGGAATAGAAAATCAAAGTTTTGACAAAGATTCAAATCCTTTACTGCATTCCTTCATACGCAGTTCAATTTAGTACAGACCTCAACTTCAATTTGAAATTAGAATAGCCTAGAACTTACCCAGTATAAGACCTCGGTCCAACCCTCCAATGTCACGCACTGGAACACAGTGAGCATACTGAACGCAAAGTTGTCGAAGTTGGTTATTCCGTAATTAGGGCCTTCCCAGTACTCCTAAACAAAACACACTCAACTCAAGTACATTTTAATCTGACCTGACCCGACCTTGCGGTCCTAGTTTGTACTGCCCCGCTCGGTACACCAACTACACTGGCAAGGGTCAATATAGTTGACCTAGCTCTTTAGGCAAGAATATAGGTTGACGCGGTCTGACCTTAGGCTGCATCTGGTTCAATTTACTATCACTAAAAGCGGCAAATTTTGCGTGACTTGCCGCAAAAGCTAATTTTCAAAGATTTTTATGTCTGCAGCCTGATGGTACAAACAATTTTTTTAACTTCGACTATTTGAATTAATAGCTGTTTTTTTACTTGGAAAGTGTGAAAGTTGTCTAATTAAAATTTTGAGAATCAAATGAATTACATAGAAGATATTGACATTTTTAAACGTGTCATTAAAATGATCAAAAATTGAAAATGATAAAATTATATAATATAATAAACAGTGATTCCAATTTAAACAAAAAAAAAGTTACGATAAGTAATGCAAAAAAAACTTGTTTTTACCTGACAGATTGTTCCATTGGGACAAATGAAATTTCCACCGCAAGGTTTAGGATCCTCCATCATTATCATTACACCTAAGAAGGAATTCGATCATTCATTATTTTACACCTTTTACCGACCTACAGTTTCCCTTACAGAGGTATATTAATTTACTTTACGTCCCTAGCTTGGGGCATTTAGTAAAAATTACCACCCGCTTTTCTAAGTTTTCGAACAGAAATTCGCTTATTTTCGTCTAAAAAGACTACAGCTTTTTCGGAAATTAAAAATTTTACTTAACCACGGGTTCCCTCGACCAATTCGATCTATGTCTAAATATCTATAAAGTCAGGTTTAAATCAGAATTCTGCAGTACAAAATTGCGAGAATTACTTTTACCTGCACCATTGCAAATTAAACGACAGCAGAAATGATTTTGGAAAATGCTCAATATCTATCTATCTATCTATCTATCTATATATCTATATCTATCTATCTATCTATCTATCTATCTATCTATCTATCTATCTATCTATCTATCTATCTATTCATCTATATATCTATCTATCTATTTATCTGCATATATAACGCTATACATGATGCCCTATCATCAGTCAGTCCTGAATATAAAAGCTCTTTGTCCGACATTTTCTTTCAACTCTTAATATATGTCTTATCTATCTATCTATCCACAACTTGTTTTTCTTCTGAGCACATTTTTATTAATTTCTATTCCTTTATCTTTAAAAACATTAACTAAATTGTTTAATATAATATATATTATGGAAGTAACATGTAACGTTTCGCGTGCACAACATAAAGTTTTTTTTCAAATTATTTATTATCTTTTTTAACGTTTCTTAAGAGTATGACGTTTTCTATTTAAATTTCTTGACCCAAGTATTTGTTCTTAAATATATTTTGATATAATCATTTATAATATAATAATTGTTTTTTTATTTTTATTTTTAATCGTGATGCCCAGCAGTCTTGCATTATGCATCAGTCTTCATGGTTTTCATTCAAAAACCTCTTCTGGATTCTGTCTTGGGTTTATTTTCTGGATTCTGCCTTGGTTTTATTTTCTGGATTCTGCCTTGATTTTATTTTCTGGATTCTGCCTTGATTTTATTTTCTGTATTCTGCCTTGATTTTTTTATTTTAAAGAAACTTTCTGAATCTCCGCAATGTAAGATCTTTAATTGAATTAAAATTATTTTCAGGAATTAATTTTAAATTGAATAATTGCGATGTAAGAAGGAAAATGAAGATAAGGTTATCGATTATATATATTTATGTAGCTGCTGTTAAAGAGACTGTAAGCGTAATTTTAAATGACCCTGTATGCAAAGGTGACAATGCCCGATTTACAACAGTATCCCATGAAGCTTTGTCTGAGTAAGTATGAATAAGATATCGATATTTTGTTCCTTTCAAATTCTTATTTTCATTTACAGTCTCTCTGTGTAAGTGATTTACGGATTATAAATTATCTATTATATCAATTATATATTATCAATTATATCTATTTGTATAAATTTAACACAGTTTTATTTCAATTTCTTGATACAGAAATATCAGATAGAAGTCTCATGGGCCTCGATCAACCCCCTAAAGTGCCTAGGTTTCAGCCTATACAGTCACTTTAAAGGGACTGTAAGCGTAATTTCAAGTGACCCTCCATGGAAAGTTGATAATGCCAGATTTACAACTGTACCATTGAAAGCTTTGTCTGATCAAGTATGAAATAGATATCAACGTTTTTGTTCCTTCAAAATGCTTATTTGCATTTGTGGTTTCTCTGCAAAAGTTACAAACGCATTTTTTGTTTATAGAAGAAATGAAGAAGAAACTCACAAAAATCTATTCAGAAAAACGACGGTACCTCCACACTTTTAAACATTGTTTCAAGGGTACAGTTGAAAATAGAGCATTACCATCTTTGTTTGGAGGTATACGTGAAATTACGCTTACGATTCCTTTATATTATTCGATGAAAATGCAAAGCCTAGCCCTGACTATATTTATGTAGATGCTTCTTAACCTCATTATAGGATATAAAAGATAATTAAATAGTGGGATACTAGACTTTTCATTATCAGGCAGTCAGGGTGTACTTTAATATCAAGCTACATGGATAGGGTTGGACATTGTTAATGTTAAGGAACGAACATTTTCGTAATCGATGGTGTTGTTAAGATAAAAAAAGAATGATTGATGGATGCTTGGATCATTTAGAGAATGTGAAAAAACGGTCGTTTTTCAAAACGAAAGAATAATTTTACTGAACGATCATTCATCGAGAAAACGAACGAAATTTTAAGGGAAATAAAAATAATAAAGTTTTGAGAGGGGAAAATATCGGAAGTTTTGAGAACGAACGAATTTTTTTTTTTAACTATTGAAAATAAAACGAACAGGATGGATCGTTCACAAACGATGAAAAAACAAAATGAAAAAAAACACGTACGGCCATCTCTAGCTACAGGATGTACCAAAATACCCACTTAATACAGAATATCCAAAAAAACGTTTTTAAAAAGGCTTTTCAGAATATTACCTGTAGTGTTATCGAAGCATGTTTTATGAAGGATCCCTGAGAAGAGTTCTAGACCAATGATTGCGTAGATTAGAATAACAAACATGACCAATAGAGCAATATGGAGTAGGGGGATCATAGCCATCAAGATTGAATTCAACACAACCTGTAAACCTGATAAAAAAAATTAAATTAAAACTGTTTTATTTTTGTTCAGCTTAATTCCTAAAAATTCCTGTAAACATTTTTTAACAATTTTTAAAACAGCTTTCATATTGCAGCACTGACTAACTTAAAGGGACTGTAAGTGTAGTTTTAAGTAACCCTCAAAAAAAGTAAGCAATGGCCGATTTACAACGGTACCCTTAAATGTTTTGTCTGATCAGGTATGAATTATGATAATCATGTTTTTGATCTTCAAACTGTATATTTGAACTTGCGGTTTCTCTGCTAAAGTGACTTTGCTTATAAGAAACAACAGAGAAACACTTTTTGAGTCAGAAAAACGAGGACTGCCATTCTTGCATGAAGGGTCACTTAAAACTACGATTACAGTCCCTTTAAGGATCCAAAGTGTATGTATGTACTTTCTGCAATTAAGAAAATATTTTTTTAATATGCCCGTACTTTAGAACGTACAGGGTGTCCCAATAAAATGTTGATTATTTTGTTTTAAATCCCTATTATGAATTTAAAAGTCTTTAATTTAGAGAATATAGATATCAAATTTATAAATGTTCTTATTTTGTGGACCATTAATGTAAAAAAAAAGTTTGAAAATCACAAAATATTTGATGCCGAAATTTCATTAACCCCGAAATTTGTAAACAGGCATGTCCGAATCAGATGGCCCTTAAAGTGTTGTATGATATGATCAAGAACGCTTCAGATATTTGGCCCCGTTTTCATTTTAAAAATTATTATTTTCAATTGTGGTTTGACTTTAAAGTAGCTTACACATTTCTTCTTCTGAAACACTGGAGGAACTGTCCAAATTAAACACTTGTCAAGGTAGAAAAACGACGGTATCTTCGACGTTATTGATCAGAGCTGAAACCTTTGGAATGGTGGATATCGAGATCAATGCTTGATCTCCTCTTTTTCATAATCTCCAGATTAAATATTGCTTTTTCTCCTCTTGTTATTAATCTCCAGATTAATTAACAGATCGGGATTAGGAATATCCCATTCTAAAGTTTTCAGCTCAGATAAACTAATGTAATTGGCGAAAGTTTGTTGGCTAAAAAATGTGAATTTACTAAATCAAACTGAGAGTCTGAGTGTAACCATAAAAACCCCGACTAAAAGACCTAAAGACTTTTAGATGCATTAAAGGACTCCAAAATCAGTAATCCTCTTTTTTCGGACCCCTGTATGCAATTACGGTTAAAAGTTCTGATTGCTTACTCGGTACTCCTGAGACGAGACGAAGAGGTCTGAGAACCCTGAAAGCTCGAAGTGCTTTGACATTGAAACCTTCTATCTCCAGAGTAGAGAGCACAGTACTCACAACACTAAAATAAAAATAAAAACATTTCTCTCAATATAATTTTGATTTTTATAGTAAACGTATGGTTTAGAACTTTAGTTATACATCAAGATTAAAATCGTTTTTTATATTATTTGATCTATGGCAAAATACTTGTTTTTGGAGGATTTTTTTGTCAATAATTTGAATTTCTGCTATTTCAACCTTTTGGAATTCATGGTATTTCAAGAAAAATATTTTATAATTTTTAAAATTTTGATAATCTTTGATAAATTTTGATAAGTTTTTTGATTGCAAAAGTGAATGAATCTTCTAAAAAACGCGCTGAAGACTCTGAAAGTATTAAGAAATAATTAGATTTTTAAAACTTTAGTGTAATTAAAAAACGTTTAGGATAAACGCCTGCAAAAGGATCTGAATGATTTTTTCTCTTCACAGTCCCAATTCTTCCTTATATGGTATAATTTTGATTACAATGAGAAACATTAGATTACACCTTCATTGGTGAATTTTCCTTAACCCTATTCCCGCTGGGGGGGGGTCAATTTGACCCCCCCCTGTAGTTTTTTTTACATAACTCAAAAAGTATTGGTCTGAGGCTGTTGAAATTTTCTGACTTTTCTTACATACCCAAAGCCCTCCCTTTAGGCCTAAAACCGGGCTTTAATACTAACTGCCTGAGTCCTCAGGCACACTGCCTGAATGACTGCTTTTGCCTGTAGCAAACAAAATCTTTGTTTTGACCCACTTTCACTTGTCAGATTTTGATAAAATTTAGCTTTTTGGAAAGCCTATTACATAAGGAAACGGATTGCACAAGTTTTGCGAAAAAAAAATTGCAAATTTTTTGCAAACAACCTGTCAAAGGAAATTTGCACATTTTTAGTTTTTCTTGATTAAAAATCAGGTTATTTAAAATTTTGCAAAATTTTTTGCATATTTAAAATGGCATGGTCAAGGGCTTTTCAAAAATGTATAATTTGTCATTTTTTGGACAAATTTTTTTTTGCAAACATTTTTACTATAAAACTGGATTTTGCGATAAAAAATTCAATTTTCGCAAATTTGCAAATTTTTTTGCAGATTCTAAAAGTAGAGCACAAGAGCTTTCTAATGATGTATCATTTGTCATATTTGGACATAAAACGTGGGATTTAGAGGGGGGGGTCAAATTGACCCCCCCCCCAGCGTATCCTGGTTTTCAAGTACCCCAGCGGGGATAGGGTTAAAATTCTATAAATTGGGAAAAAAGGTCATACAGAGGCAGTATAGGGATAATAAAGGAATCGAATACTATACTTTGGTAAAAATTATATCAATACAGATATTATAATAGCTGCTAATCACGCTCATAAATATATCAAAGTTGCCGAGATTGGTTGGAAGTTTATAACTGTGCTTAACATTATATTGCATGGTTAGGTTTTTACAAGTTTCAAGTTTACAGATTATAGAACTAGCTGATTCATCAACCACTAGGGATATGGGCGAGGGAGGGAAGGCACGCTACACCATTTTTCGTCCGACCACAAATGACGTCAATATTCACCATTATTTCGCCCGACCACTTTCTTTCGTCCGGCATTATTGTTTAAATTCTGTTTTTAGAAACGTTAAATTCGTCAAATTCGAATTTTGAGCCACGTCTGTTGTTCATAATTGCTTAAAATACAGTTAAAAACAAAGAATGGACGAAAAAGGTGGGGTATGCAATAGTGAGTTGTTACGTCGTTTGTGGTGCGGACAAAAAAATAAAATGGTGTTGCGTGCCTCCCCTCGCTCTATGGGCAGGGGGGGGGGGGAGGAATTTGAGAAGGAGAGTGGAGGGAAAGGGGAGGGAAGAAAGATAGAAGGATACATGAAAAGGGTATCTTCTTATATATAAAATAGTAATCTATGTTTGTTTGTTTGTTTGTTTGTATGCCCGGACATAACTCATGAAACCCTTAACCGATCTGCTTCAAATTTTGATTAGGGAACTCGAAGGAACCAAAAATATGTTTTAGCTTGGTTTTGATATTCTAACTTAAGTGGGAGGAAAAATAGCTACAATACTATGTGCGGGTAAACGGCGGGAGTGCCACTCTCAAGCGAGTTCTTTAATGTTTATGGTATAAGCGATGATCAAAATGCTGATTCATGTGAGTAGTGCAATGTGTATGATGCTGAAAGGAATGTACATGGGGGAAAAAAAGTGTTTAATAGAGAGGTGGGATGGAGAAGTGTTTAATAGAGAGAGGAGGGATGGAGAAGTGTTTAATAGAGAGGGGGGTGATGGATTGGCATGATGTTTGATAGATAAGTTAAAGTTTAATCACAAATCACTGCTCTGTAATTGATGTATGTGCAAGTTAAGAATGTAAATCTCTGTTTAAAGAGAGTTCTCAAAATAATTGATAAATTTAATATTTGATTAATCAATTATTCATTTTCATAATCAGGTTATGATTCAATTATTGAATTATTTATTGCATTAATGAATAATTGAGTTCATAAATCTAAAAAATAATTATTAATCAATTAAAAATGGTCTTTCTTTTCCTTTACATGTGGTTTTTCTTTATTGTCCGATTTAAGTTATTGATAATGTCATTAACCTTCAAATGACTTAGTTGATTATTTAACTATTTCATTGCTATTCAGACCTTTCGAATAATCTTTGTCTATTCAATCAAAATATTAAAAGTGTTTACGATGTTGAATAAGATAAAAAACAAAGTCAGTGGAAAAGTGGTTAGGTACAAAGAAATTGGGTAGACAATTTTGAGTTTGTGGCAAAAATTCAATTCTATAATAACAACCAACCACATCATTTTTTTAATTTCTGAACAATTTTGAAAATATTCTCTGCAACTCTTTATCCATACAGAGTTACCATCAAAGATGAAGACTGTTAAGACGACATGCAACTCTTAAAATATGAAAAATTAAAGGTTAAATATAGACTTTTAATAATTTGTCAAAGAAAGGAAACAAGCTTTAAGTTGCAAAGAATCACGAACATAAGAAAACAGACAGTATAAATTCCGTACAGTCGTCTCTGAAGTCTCATCCTCAACCCTATATATAGATCTCTTTACTAAACACACACACTTGATGATTATGCATGTGTTTGTTTACTTTGTATCAAACCTCAGTGCTTCATCCAAGGTTGCATAACAAGGCTGCTTACTCTCGAGTCTTGATGCGATCCAATGTACGGAAAGTGTCGTCTCTTTAGCATTGATGGATAAAATCCGCATATGACGTCACTAAGTATAGAGGCGAGAGAGACGTCATATGCGGATTCTATCCATCTATGCTAAGGACGTTTTCTGTACATTGGATCGCATCCAGAGTAACCGACCTTATTATACAACCTTGGTGTCATCTAAACCTGGATTGTTTGCTTTGAATTGTTTACAAGTTGTTTGATACACAAGTATTTTCATAAACCTCTTAGTCATACCGTCTGTCATTATTTATCTAGCTCAGTCATCACGTTTTTGCTTCACATCACATGTAAATAAGTCTTTAAAATGGAAAACATTTTAACAGATGTAAAATTATAATGAGAGAAATGGAACTGACTTTTTGCCACAAACTCAGATTTTCTAATCTTCATGTTTTTACAACTCAATTTAGTAGACCTTATATATTTCAAACTATCAAATCTGTGAATTCTAAATTTGAAAAATCACAGGTTTACACCACTGGGTTACAAAGATATGGGATTTGGAAAATGTTAGTTTTAGGGTAAAACTCAGTGCCTTTGTACAGTCTAGTATATACCATCTTAATTATTTTTACTATTGTTTTATATTTTCATTCATGTGAGGTTAATAAACTTACCCGATCATAACAATTGTGAAATCCAGAATATTCCAGGCATTCCGTAAATATGCATTCTGATGCTGGATAAACCCCTAAATATATATATTATACATTACATAGCGAAAGCAGATTTTTTTATTTAAAAAAATCAAACATAAAAATAGTGATACCCATATTATTGTGAAAAACGAAAAATAGCTGTAGCTGTTGCTTAAAGTAGCTGTAGCTGTTGCTTAAAATAGCAACTTTAGAGTAAAATGGGTCTGTGTATACTACAGGATAACCTATTAAATATGAGATGTTAATGACGACCTGTGACTCATCGTATATAATGATCTAAAGGTTGTCGTTTATAGATAAAAAACTGCATAATTTGGACCAGAAAGAAATTAGCTCTCAACTGAATGGCATCATAAATGTAAGATGTGAGACTAAATAATTCCGTACAGTCGTCATTAAGTCTCATCCTTTGTGGGTAACCTGTATATTACGGTTTTTCATGTTAATTGGACTATTCAATATAGTAGCTAGAATATATCGTCAGTCATCTTTCTTATTGTAAACAAGATCAATATAATTACCTGCGCTATTATTTTCATAAAACATTCAGCTGTAAAAATGAAGAGGAAAGCATATTCTACTTTTTCCTGAAATAAGATGTTGTAAACTGTATTTTTCTAAGAAATGCAAACTTTTCATCCATCGAAATCTGTTGGAGCACCAGAGCCAAATTCATGACATAGAAGCTCGATTCTTCAAATGTTGATGAATAATAAATTTTTATTCAATACAATTTTGCGAATATTGCTATATGATGTTAAATTGGGCTCCAATGCTCAAACATATTTTTTAAGATGAAAATTTTACATTTTACATTTTTTAGGATCTTCTTTTGTGAAATCCGCAAACAGTCCTTTAAGGCTCTATATATAGGTTTTTCATGCAGCGTAAAGTATTTTTATGACTTTTGAAAACCACGTAATTATTAAGTGGTTCCCATTAATGATCTCATAAATCATAAGAGCACAAACAAAAATGGAATTGAATTAACCAATGTATTTCTCAACCAATTTACTGCATTTCTGGTGGGGATGCAACAATAAGGAACCAAAATAATTCTAAAGTGAAAAACTTCAAACTATTAATTTCTTACAGTTTAACCCAAACTTTAGAGAAACCGAAAGAATTTATAAAATGTCGTTTTCTAAACCTACTGATAATGGAATGCTGCAGATATTTAGTTTTGTCATTGAATATCTTTAAAAAAAAACTGTTCCTGCGTATTTCATGGCCATTTATTTAGGTATAATAAAACTCATTGAAAAATGGTCAAGACGACAATTTTTGAATTCTTTCGATTCCTCCGAAGTTATAGGTTTAACTGTATGTTAACAATATTTAAAGGAATGGTTTACACAACACTATGACATTTTTCTAATCAGGTATATGCACGTACACGGTGTCACACGAAACATGAGAGTTGGGACGACCTAAACGTCGTCGTTGTTGATCTTCGAAATAATTTGCGGCATTCATATTCTTCAATCTAACTTTACACTTATAAATGTTGAAAATATAATCACACAATTCTCTGGCGTTTCCAAAATGTGGTCCGACAATTGTGTGCTTTGAAGATAGAACCGGAGATATTCAGAATTTCGTTCAGAATTCAATTCACAAACCAAAATTGTCGAAATCTGAACCAAACTCTTTAATCTTCATATCTCCGTCAATTTTGACAGCACACACAATGCTGTCCACTGCCAGGACTTTGGTATTTGTTAATTACAAATTTAAATTTGTTACTCAAATAGATATGTTGGCGAATTATAGCCAAAATTTATTTCTAAAATCAAAGGCGACTTTCAGAGCTGTTTCGTGGGGGAATCCTGTAGGTTAAAAGTTTTAAATATTTTTGAAAAATTAAACTTTCTTCAACAGAAATTAATAAAAATAAAAATAAAGATAATGAATATGGAAACTTTTTAAATCACAATTGTTTCTCTTCAAAATCCCTGTTTTGAATTGATCATGAAATATATTACCAGAATCGCGTTGCTTTCGTTGGAATCTCCGTTTGGGAACGGAGTGTAGATAGCGAGACAGATGCAGTTTCCCATAATAGTAAGCAGGATGAAGAATTCAAACGGTTTCCATTCCATTAGAGCGATACAGTATTTTCTGAAAATAATTCATTGATCTAGAGATAATCATATTTAAGATAAGATTTTCTGCTTTACTAGAGTGTAGGTGTAATTTCAAGTGATCCTCCATTTAAATATGACAATGCCAGATTAACAACAGTACCCTTGAAACCTTTGTTTGATCAATAATATGAAAGATATTTTCGTTTGTCTAGGTTTAAAAAGTGTTTGATTTTGATGATTTATATATTTTTCTTGCAAATCACCTCTGTATACAGAAACAACAATTAAGAATAATCAATTTTCAAGATTATAAACACTGATATATAATTCATACTTGATCAGACAAAGCTTTTAAGATCAGACAAGATCAGACCACCTGACCTTCAACCCTCTAGGGTAAAAGCAAGATCAGACCACCTGACCTTCAACCCTCTAGAGTAAAAACAAGATCATACAACCTAACCTTCAACCCTCTAGAGTAAAAACAAGATCAGACCACCTTACCTTCAACCCTCTAGGGTAAAAACATGATCAGACCACCTGACCTTCAACCCTCTAGAGTAAAAACAAGATCAGACCACCTGACCTTCAACCCTCTAGAGTAAAAACAAGATCAGACCACCTGAACTTCAACCCTCTAGAGTAAAAAAAGATAAATAAATTCAAAAATATTCTCACCGAATAGGATTTTTAAGTCCACAACAGACGATAGCTCTTTCTGTTCGGTCAGGAGGGGCTTTGGCTCCCACACGTCTCACAGGCTTTTTAGGATCAGGCTAAAATAATAAAATAAATATTATGATGGTGATAACAAGGTGATGGGTATTTTTCCAAAGGCATATTCCCAAAGGCGACTTCCCAAGTGACAATTTCCCAAGCGTTAACTTCTANACGCGCTGCGGCTAGGACAGACTTGTAAAATGGCACATTTGGAAAATGCCCTGGAGAAATATCCTTTGAAAAAATACCTGACATTGATAAAATAGACAAAAGATATTAATATTAAAGATATTATAGTAAAAATAAAATAATAATAATATTAAAAATATTATAGTAAAAATAAAAAAATAATAATGATAATTGTATTAAAAGCAGGATGGATGTCTTGTGATAAATTGATCAATATCATGACAGAATTTGTTATTCAGACAAATTATGATGGTTGATGGGATGACAGGCGTACAACCATGGAGATAATTAATTCAACTTTTTATCGAATTTCTCGAAACTAATCAAGTGTGACTACAACTATTCAAACAGTAAATATTCGTTTAAAGATAAATAATAACCACACTATGTTTTTAATGACTCAGGCAAGCATACAGGGTTATCCACAAAGGATGAGAATATTAAAAACGACCTAAATTTCTTTAAATACGACTATTCCAAGGTTTAATTAAGTCACCTGCTTTAAATATAGACTTTTAATGCTTAGATTTAATGATTTAGCAAAGAAAGAAACAAATTTACAGTTGCAGGGAATCATATATATATATTTATGTCCAACATGAAACACCGTGTCCAGCAATAACCAACCTTAATAGAATATGTTCTAGACTTATAAAGAAGATATATATATATAAGAAACAAGACCGTTGGGGGTAACCCGTGTAGTACCTTATTAAATTAATTGTGCCTTGAGATATTAATTTGCAGGGCGGGACGAATAAGTAGTTTAATTCCCTTGATACAACAGTACAGATGAACAGTATATTAAGTAGGATAAAGACTATATTATTAAGCACTACATTTTTAGCTGTGTGAAAAACTATAAGTAAATTGTAAAAGAATACGTTCCTTAATTTCATAAAGTTACTGCCACAAACTCAAATTTTCTTATTCCTATATCTTTGAAACCTGATACATCTATGTCAAACTTAAAATTAATTAATCTAACAGAATTCATCGTTTAAAATACGACATAAGTTACAAAGATATAGAGATTAGAAAATTATAATTTGTGACAAAAACTCAATTCGTTTAGGTTCTTTGTTAATGATTTGAAATGGTTCACCGACAAAAGGGTCAAACGACACAGGGTTAAACGACATACAGAGTAAAACGACATATAGGGTAAAACGACATAGGGTCAAATAACAAACGGTCAAAAACGCGACAGAGGATAAAACGAAGAAAGGGTCAAAATGGAAAAAATATTTTATGATTATATTAGGGTAATGTTAGGTTAAGACAATTTCTGGGCCGAGCGCTGCATCTTGGACAGGCTAGGGGGGGCGAGCGTTGCGACTAGTAGTTCAAATGAACATAAAGCATAACATAAAAATATGTATTATTTCAGGGTAGGTAAGGTTAAGACAATTTCTGGGCCGAGCGCTTCGGCTACTAGTTCTAATGAACATAAAAAAGCTTAAATTACCCAAAAACAAAAAATTTTCTCGATCGTCGCACTTTTTGGCCCTATGTCGTTTTACCCTTTCACGCGTTTTTGACCGTTTATCGTTTTATCGTTGGTCGTTTTACCCTACGGTATTTGACCCTGTGTCGGTGAATTATTTTGATTATAAAAGTATAGTATATTTTCATTAATTTACTGCTCCTTGGGAAATAAAATCAATCAAGTTAGGCAATTATTTCACTGAGGAAAAACGAAATTAATTTCAAAAGGAGTGATTTTTTATTAGATATAGGAAACAAAACTAGGATCTTTCATGTCCCTTTTGAACGATTAATAATATTATATCATATTAATTCACGATTCAGGAAAAAATCGACTCTTGAAGATGTTTTGAAATGATATGATATTTTGAAAAGCGCGTGTGAGCATTTGCCAATTGCCTCAAAAATTATTAAAGGGATGGTAAACGTAATTTCAAGTCATGCAAAATTGGGATTCACCAACAAAAGGTCAAACGACACAGGGTCAAACGACAAAGGGTCAAACGACAAAGGGTCAAACGACAAAGGGTCAAACGACAAAGGGTCAAACGACAAAGGGTCAAACGACAAAGGGTCAAACGACAAAGGGTCAAAAGTGAGACAAAGGGTCAAACGACAAAAGGTCAAAATGATAAAAATATTTTTTGATTTGAATCATAGGAAACTCGCAACCCTCCTATCAATTTTGTACATGGATCTTATATGTTCGACATGGATTAAATTGACCATGTGACCGCAGCGCTCGGCCCCCAAGCCTGTCCTAGCCGCAGCGCTCGGCCCAGAAAGTGTCTTAACTAACCTAACCCGTGGCCGCAGCGCTCGGCCCCTAGACAGTCATAGCCGCAGCGCTCGGCCCAGAAAGTGTCTTAACCTAACCTAACCCTAAATAATAATAAATAAATACTAACTGTAACTGATGTCAAAATTTAAAAAAAATTGCCCCTTTGTCGCATTTTTTGACCCTTTGTCGGTGAACCAAAAATGGCGATGACCGATTTACCACGGTACCCTTGAAACCTGAATATGATCGTTTTCTACATTAAAAGTGTTTATTTCTGTGATTTTCTCTGTTGTTTCTTATAAGCAAGAAATGCGCAAGTAGCTTTCGCAGAAAACCCGCAAATGAAATAGAATCCAAAAACTTGGATCTAATTGATCAGACAAAGCTTTCAAGAGTGCCGTTGTAAATCTGGCATTGCTATTTTTGCAAAGAAGGATACTTGAAATTACGCGTACAGTCCCTTTAATTATTATAATTTAATTGCTGGCCCCTTTCCTTTCCCCTCCCCGGCAAACCTCGGCATGAAAATCATAAATATTGAAAAGATTGGAAATGCATAAAATCATGCATACAATAAACAATTTGTTTGGTCGGATTGCATGACGATACTTTTCAAATGTTTTCTCGACCCTGCTTGACAATTTGACCTTAGGAATGCAATGCGTTCCAATTTTGATTCATTTTAAGTAAATTCAGGTTTTTACACATAGATTAATAACAATACAAATAGAACACATGATGTCGTCTTTTCAAGATTAGGGGTTTTTCGTTAACATTAACCATGAGACAGACGCCCAAAGGAGTTATACGCATTTTGCGTAGAATTACAAGACAGAGAGAGAGACCGGTCTACGCGGCATGCGCGTAACTCCTTTGGGCTTCTGCCTTAGCGTTATTGAGAACAAAAAACCCTAAATCTTGGAAAGACAACATCTAGTGTTGTATCTGTGTTGTTATTAATCTATATGTTTAGCCTAATACAACTTGTTTCTTGTATTTTATTTTTAACTAATTTATACGCTAAATAACGCTAAATAACTGAACGTTTATTAAACAATACTATTGGAAGTCAAAAATTTTAAGGAAAAAAACAGTGAAAGAAATCATTTGGGTAATCTATGTATATACTTGCATGTCTATCTGTCTGTACGTTTGTATCCAATAAACGTCCAAACGGCTTATAAACAAATCGGTCCCTATTCTTTTGTGGCAACTCACATAACCTCGGGGAAGGTTCATGGATGCTCAAAATATAAAAAAGTTGCCTCCAAATATTTTGATTTTCGTAAAATTTTATAAATCCACGAAAAAATGTATACGTAGAAAAATGTTGGAAAAGTTTAAGCAAGGGAAAATATTGTAATGAAAAGCATCATATAAAAAAATAAAATTCGGTGAATGGTGATGGACCAAACCTCTGCACTGCAGAGAAAAATAAAATAGTTGTTAGTTCCACATTTATTTAAAAAAAATATTTTGGTCTGGGTTGACCCTCGTCAGTTCTAACGATATAATATCCTTTTTAAAAATCGGTTAAAAACCACAAGAAAATAAACAAAAAAAAGATAATTTAAAAAAAAATTTTAATGGGCTGTCAAACGGAAAAAAAGGGAAACGAACTCAGATCATGAGATGAAAAAAAGATAATTTGCAAATATTCACTTTTTAAAGAATGTTATAAAAACATAGTTGTCCATAGTTTTCACGAAATCCGGAAATTCTGTGAAAACATGTTTTGATGAATTCAGTGTAATGAAAAAAACGTAATTCCATTAAAAGATGGCAAAGCCCGATTTCCAACGGTACCCTTGAAACTTTAATTAAATCAAAAAGGTGAGAGATACAGTCGTTTTTCGACTCAGAAACGTTTTTATTTCTGTGAATTTTCCATTTTTTCGTGTAAAGAATGCAAATCACTATCGCAGAGAAACCGTAAAAGAAAATAAAACAGTTTAAAGAAACAAAAATATCGTAAATATCGGCAATTGCCATGGCGGCTCACTTGAATCTCTGCAAATACCTGTAGCTGTTTAGGTTGCCCTGTCAGTGCAGAATTCCAGGCAGAAGATAAGCCTGTATCCCCTCCCCCTCCCCCCATCCCTCCTCTTCCATCATCTTCTTCCCTCCCCCCTCCTCCTGCAATTAGTTAGTATAAGGGTTATTTACTAATACTAATACCGTATTAATTAGGATTATATCATCATTGTCAACATTATTCTTCATTAGTATTCTATAAATGATATGTCAATAAGACAAACAGTACAAAATATTTAACATAGAAAAAAGTTATTTTCAATTTTATTTTCATTAAAATTGAAGAAAAATTATGGCAATATCCCTTTTTTGGAGAATATCCGGAAACCAATGAAAACTTTAGTGCACAGTACTTAATATACAGCTATTTTTATGAAAATCAAAAATGAAGTGAATATGAATGATAAATTACACAATAGTTTCATAAAATGTATTTTGATAGATGTATCTTTCTTTTTATGAAACTATTGTGTACTTAATCATTCTTCCTCACTTCATCGCAAATTTCATAATGAATGTACTATAAAGTAATTATCGTGCTATATTGTTAAAATAGCTGTACATTATAGCACTTGTTTTGATTGGTTCCCGGATTTTCTCCAAAAAAATAGGATATTTCCAAAATATTTTTTTTCAATTGAAATAAAAATAAAACTGAAATCAACTTTATGTTTTGACTTCTGCTTTGTTTCAAAGCTTATTTGATCTAGAAATAGCCATTGAAATAAAATAAACAAACGTTTCATAAAATTGCCTATAACACTACTATTTTGGCAAGCCGTGTTGTAAAGTTTTTGAACTTAAATTTTTTCTATATCTCGAAGGTTCTTGGCTTTTTAAAATATATTTTGTCCCTCGCTAAAGCTCGGTACAAAATTATATCTAAAAAGGCTTGAACCTTCTCGATAAAAACAAAATTCCTGCTAAAACTGTATAACACTGCAAACCAAAATAACAGTGTTATAAATAGTTATTGTGGACATGGCATGTTATTAAAAAGTTGCTGGGTTTTTTAACGGAAAATAAAATATAAATTGACTGAAAATAGTAAATTCTTTCTTTGATTTAATCTTTATTATTGATTTACTGCAGATAGTATTTCCACAGAAAATACAATTTTGGTCTGGGTTAATACTCTTTAGCTAGTTCAAACGATATTTACAAAAATTAATAAAAAAAAATATTCAAAAAATACGAAAAAGAGAAGGAACCAAATCATGATGAAAATTTGCAAATTTTCTCTATTTTAAAAACAATTAATATTTCCTTTTAAGATACTGAGTCTTTGACACAAACTCTAATTTTCAAACCAACGTCGTAGACCTTAGATATTTCAAATTATGAATTCTGTTATATCTAATAATCTATGTTTGAAATATCCAGATTTACACCGTCAGGTTGCAAAGAAAAGGATTAGAAAATTAGAGTTTGTGGCCCAAACTTGGGTTTGATATTGAAGATTTAAAACAAACTGATTAAATTCTAAGTGTTGAAGTATAAAGTTGTGAACTAGTTAACAAACTTTCACAGTAATATTGTTCACCCAAAGTTTAATTCATTTTGCTGTGAACTTTTTTAAACATATTCATGATTTCAGACAAATCTTTAAATGAAACAATGAAGGGATTTTCTTTCTTTAATCTCGGATATGAAATGATATTATCAGACATAATTATAACTTAATATTGCACTAATAATCACGCTTTATTTAATTTACAAGACACAGGCAGCCATAGTACATTTGAATTTCCGAGCCGGGTCAACCGTTCCGGTCCCAGTTTGTACTGTACCGCACGGACATTGGGTTAATAAAGCAGACAATCAACAGGACTAGCCGGTGCAATAAGGTTGACGTGGTCAGACTTTATGCTTGATATATGTTGAATTTATTTTTACTAAAGGGGCAAAGGTGCGTGAAGACGACATTAAATCAATAATTAATTGTATTTAATGTTGCTACAAAGTAAATAGTTTTACTAGTAACTTATTAATTCAAGTGAAATTAATCTGTTTACACTGCACAATTGCTGTGTTTTTTGCTTATTGAACTTTTTAAACTTGAGTCTAAAAGGTGTCTTCCTATTCCAAAATGTTATGGTTATCACAGTAGGTTTGATTGGAAACGTTTTATATTTTAATTTCCAAGTATAAAATTTCAGAAACATGTTGTAGAATGAGTTTAATTTCAAGGATTTGAAACGGTTGTTAGCTAACACAGAGCTTCAAAGGATACCTGAGCTGCAGTAACAAGATGCAAACTCAATTCAATTTAAAAGAAAGTTATTTTGGCGATTAATGTTTAAAAATAAAATTTATTGGATAAAAAAAACCATAGCTTGAAGTCCCAGTTTTTGGAATTAGGAATACAACGTTCCTATTTCAGAAAACTTAGGTATGATCAGTTTTATTTTTTTTTTCTTATTTTACTCAATTTTTAGCTAAAAAATGATGATTCATTATAAATATCAATAAGTAGACGTCAATGATGAGATATCTAAATACATTTTGTGTTTACTTTAAAATGCATACAAATCTAATTCAAAGATAAGTTTAACTGAAAGATATTTTAACCCTAATTATATCGTCTTTATTATTTTTGTCCCTACAAATACCACAGAAAATGAATATTTGTAAAATTGTTGTAATTGTTAAACACTTTTTCGTGCTTTTTCTTACACTGTATTTCCATCGTCCCAAAACTGGAATGCCTCGTGAGGACTTCTTATTTAAAAGGACTGTAAAGGAAAACGGAAAGGGGATATAGGCTGAAACCTGAGAATCTCAGGAGTTAAACGATACAAAAAAGACATCTATTTTATGTTCCTGTCTCGAGAAATTAATAAAACTGTGTCAAATTTATACGAAAATTTATGTATATGCAATTGTGTATAAAAGTTGTAGTATTGAACTTATCATATTCAACAAATACGCAACCAATCTGAAAACGACGATATTCCACAGAAGTCTGAGCATCTCAGATTTGCTCCTATAACTTTTTTAATTTTGCATTTTTAATAGATATAATCGATAATATTGTTACAAATAGTCCGTATAATCCGTATTACGTCAATGGCAGTGCAGTATTGTTGTTACGTGATACAGACGGAAATCACGTGTAGTAGCTTCTCAAATAAACTATAGTTTTCATTTAGGGCAAAAGACAATTATTTTTTTTCTAATTGCTTTTTAATAAGAGGAGTTTTGTTTGAAAATATATAATATTTTAACCTGTGTCATTTATTTTAATTTGACTTGACAAAAGTGAAACATTAAGACAAACCTTTTCCATTATTCCTTGTCTGCATTTCATGTAGGTTTTCTCCTCCTTCCTCACCTGTAATAGTTTAGTAATTAGTTTGTTTCGGAGATATCACCATTGTAATAAAGCACTTATAATTAAAACCAGCTTAAGAGCCTGGCGTTGCCCGTGGGATAATACAAATTTGAATTTTAAAGAAAAAACGATTTTTGAAAAAAAAACGAATTTTGTTAGCTTATGCTACACATGGGTTTCCTCAAAACGTGTCATCGAATTCGGTCAAAACTCAGGATTTACAGATCTTTAAAAAGTTTAATATGTCTCAAATGAATCCGAAAGAAGTTTTCCACAACACTGCATACTCAGTTCAACTACCTTACATAGCCGGTCACTCCCTTTAACAGAAAGACTGGAAAAAAACTATCAGTAATAAACACTTATCACTTAACATTTTTAATCAGATTAACGTTTCAAATCGGGAATCTTGAAAAATTACACTTACAGTCTATATTTAAAACATTTTAATCATCTAAACTATAAATATGATGCAATGTATGATGATAAGATAAAAATTAATATACTATAGAGGACGTGAGTCAGACTCTAATAAAACGCATAGATAACTTCCAGTATATATATATTTCTTATAACTTATTACTAGAGGGTTCAGAACTAGAGGCAATATCAAGATCGCACGTGTAGACTGTAGAGATGATATCAGTACTAATGCCCCGTATCCGTTCTATCTCATTCTGTTGAATCTTGTGGAACTAGTTTAACGCGGCCAGGCATCGTCTTCCACAATACCTAAATTAAAAGAAGGTTCTACGAATTATGGCGTAAAGGTGGCGTAAGCTATGTAAATTCTGCTTCAATTGTATAGGAGTCATATTAACTGTTTAAGCATGAATACCGGGACTATTATATGAAAGGTTTAAATACAGTTTATAATGTTAATCTACTTAGAATAAAGAATCTATAATATAACAAAATTCTTTAGTCTATATATAAAAAGTAGTATTCTCGGTTTGTCTGTTTGTTTGTTTGTGTGTATGATCATAACTCAGGAACCCCTTCACCGATTGCCTACAAAATTTGATTTGGGAACTTGGTGGGTTTTGAGATTCTAAGTTTATCTAGTAAAATAAGATATTTGTATATATATATATATGTTGCGTATAGCCGGCCAAACGGCTGGACCGATTGGGCTGAATTTTTTTGTGGACACGCATGAGTGTTATAGGCTAAAAAAAAATTTGAAAATATTTTTTTTTTAATTTTATAAAAAAAAGTTTTTTTCCACGAGCAATATAAAATTAATATTGGAATTGGAGGATTTCAATAAAATGAGAAAAATTTTACTGGCTTTCCTCCCCACATTGGATTTCAAACATTGTCAAAAATCTGTCAATCTTAATGTGTAGACTTGTGTTACTTTCAAATTTGATAAATAAAACATTAACTAAGATTCTGGCCTAAGTAATTTCAATAAACTAATTTAAATCTAGGTTGAACGACGCGGACTACTTAAAATATCAATTAGTTTTAAGACGAGGATTACGCTGCGAAATATTACAAATAAACTGGTCCGATAAGAAATGTTACGAGTATTGACGATAAAGTAGGTGGTTGATTTCATGTTTGTTTTCAGTAATTTTTTATGTTAACTTTTTCAGCTTGTTTTTCAGAGTCGAACGCAAGTTTTGTAGATGCAGAACAAATTTGAAAATTTGTGCGACGTGCTGGCCTTGAATATACGAAGCCCGGGGGAGAGAGCAGTTTTTCCAACTTAGCTGTTAATATTC